ATTAGAAAATTATGATAACATCTCCTGAATCCTCAGATCTGGCTGAGGTTGGTAGGCTATTAGCTGAATGCTTAATTGCTTAAAATTTAATTAATTTATTGAATTTAATTGATTTTTAAATTTAATTTTTTTATTTTATTTAGTTGCATTTTTTCATTTATTAATAAAATGAATTTTATTTTGAAATAATTTACCGATTCCCCCCACAGAGAGGGCATTAATGAAACATTTTGTAGAGCCTTTAAAAAAAATGCTAAACGTTAGGGCCTCAAACTAAGTCTTTTTTTAGATATCTTCTAAATCATTTTCCGAAAGAATTTATCAAAATGAAGTAATTAAACTACCACACTTATTGAAAAGGACAATTTTGCAAAACTGGAACATTAGCTCTTAATGGGTTAGTGACAATATAAATACTATACTATGAATTACCAATCAATCTACTAAAAATTAAATTTAGTTTACTGCAATAATTTTTTTTTTACTTTTCAAGTGTTCTTTTAAATGTTCTTAATGTTCTTTTATTCCCTAATTTAACAGATTTATGGTTATTTATAACTAAATATGTTAATTCATCACATGAATAAAATGAGGAGTTTGCATGCATACAAGCTTTTGTATTCATTTCACTAAAAAAAAACTGCAGATATTAATAACTATTACTATTTTTTATTTAGTAGATAACCTTTTAAAACATTAGAAAAAAGTCGGGTTTTATAAAGTTCGAATAAACTAGTATAGGATCTTACAAATGGAAAAAAGAATTATTTTAGTTAACGAGAAATTTAAAACAGTAAATAGCTTTTGTTCATTTTCTGTTTTCAAAAACCTAATTTTTCAAATAGGAAATGTTTCGTCCTTTTTTTTGATATGAAACGAAATGCATGAGGGGATTATGTAATAAGCTTTCACTTTAGATGTAGTTCATTTTAGATTTCATTTTGGAAATGCGATAAAACAGCAGTAAATTCTGCTTGTAACGTTCAGAAAACGACTGAAACTTGCATTTCCCTTTGACACGTAATTTCATTTGTAATTTATGCATCCTAACTAGTCGTAAAATGACTGAATTTAACTATTAGTGGATAAGTTTTACTTTTAATGGTTGGGAATTTTTTCTTATTTTTTCGTTCATCAAAAGCCGATCTTAAGTTAAAATCGGAGCATTCTATCTTTTCGGACAATAGTCGAGATTGAGAAACTTAGTCCAAACTCGAAAACGAATTAAGTAAAACATGCCTTACTCATTTTTAGTTACATAAAAAATTCTTTATGAAGTTTTAAAAAAAATTGTCCTCGTATTTTGTAGCAGATAATAACAATCATACTCAATGATTCCAAATTAATAAAACAATTGCGGAATGTAATTGAAATTTAATGTCGAGGATTTTAATTATTCTATATATAGAAGGTAAATATGCATAATACAAGATGAAAATTTCAGAAATATTCTGAGAATCAAATATTCTCTACATTTTCTATATTTATTTTAGGTATCTGTGATAATTTAACTGCAGCCGAAACAATGGCTCCGGTATCAAGAAACGATCTCGAACTAACGGATGAAGAGTCCGATGACGATAACGATGAAAAGACCCCTCTAGTTGAAAATCCTTACGACAAGTAAGTTTTATATTATTACAAATAATTAACTTCGTTATTTCTAAATTCAATACTCCATTTTCAGAGTTTTGTGAGATCAATTTTATTAACGTAAACCTTGGTAAATTAAAACTAGTATTTCAGACAACGTAGATCAGTTGGAAAAAGTAAAGTACTCACGCTGCATTACAAGAGCAGTTCTGCTGTGTGTACTCTTAATTTTCTATAAAGTGTCAGTGGTGTAAAATATTATAAATTAAATGACTTCCTATAAGCTGCCATCCTTGGCTAACAGTGCTTACACCTATGGTTCCTTCTAGATGAGGTTAGGTTGAAAAAAACCGAGCAATTTTTCCTGCCAAAATCTGAGATTTTACGTATTTGCCAATAAAAAATGGAACATTGTTCCGATTCTAGGAGAGATTATATGGTGTTTAGAGTAGCTAAAAATGTAAATGGCTAAAAATAAAATATGGTGATGTCTTAAGGCTCCCCAATCTATTTTATCAACCCACTTTATTATGAGATTCAGTAATTTTTTTTCTACAACTAAAATTCTTTTGCCTTACTGGTTCTTTATTAATAAGGTTTAACGTATTTTTTTCAAGCATTATAATATTTATTTCCAAAAACCTTATAACAATTCCATTTATTTGCAATTGTTGTTGTAAACGTTTTAAATTATTAATAACAATCTCTCCTACGTAACGTCTTCTATGATAGACAGCACAAAAAAGTTTTCTTGATTTTTGTACAGTTGTAGTTAGTTAAAAATAAAGGCAAGACACCAAACTAACAATGAAAATTAATGCATAAAAATTTAGTCAGCATTATTAATGGTTAGCTGAGCAAAAAGTTGGTATTTACTAGTTTTTAAAATTACTTTGCTGAATTGTGCTCGAACTGTCCTTGCTTTATCTTATAAAGATTGACTTGAGTCTAATCACAAGATTAGTTTCTATAATAATTAATTCTAACTCATTTAATTATCGTTGACGGGAATACTGAATTATTTCTCATGGAACTATTCCCCCTGGAAATACGATTTTGGCATAGTATTAAACCTAAATTAGTTTAAAGTAGGCATAACTGTTGGGAAAAAAGGTAATTTTATTTTAGAAAAAATTAAGCCTCTGGAAAATTTCCATGAAGGCAATTGTCTCAAAATTTGAGTCGATGAATGTATTGTATTCATATTTGCTTCAAAAGATGCTTAAAATTAGTTCTCCAATTATACACAGCTTAAAGAGCTATTATTGTCTAATTAGCAGTTCTTACCTTCTTCTAATTCAATTTCTAATTTTCTTCGTCCTTTTTAAAAGATCTTTATATTTTTTCCCCATGTTTTCCTTATCTAACTTATAACATTTCTCATTGCTAATCTTTGATTGAAGCATTAAACTGATTTTGATTAACAAATTGCTTCCCAGTTCAGAGTAATCTATTCTGGTAATCTGGTAATCAAACTGGTTGCTGTCCTTTCAGTCTCATTGTGTGTTTCGACTTATTAACTTTTTTTTATAGTATTTTTGTTTATATTTCAGTTAAACATCTATTTGCGATAGCTAATGTGTATATTTATTTCATTCCATTTTTTGTAAAGGATTCTAGAAACACATATTAAGAGCGGTAGTTATGGTACGTTTTATGTTTGAACAATTACAAAAGAATAAAATGAACTTCACTTTTGTTCAAACAAGGAACTATAAATTGAGGGAACCCAGGGAAGATTGTTTAATCATTGAAGGAACCAACCATTTAAAAGTTTGAAACCTATGATATTCATTATTAATTAGAAATAATTGCGCAGCGTCCATGCATTTTGAGCTAAAAATATAACGAGGTTCATTCAATTTAAAACAGAGCAAATCAATTTGCAACTGATTCAGAATTAGAAAAAGTTAAATTTGTTGCTAAGTTTAATTACTCAATTAAACTTTTTCTGTTGGTAATGCAAATCTTTCCCTGAAAATAGGATTTTCATTAAAGCTATTTTCAGTCAAATTTGATAAAACATTTTATAGTTTTATTTGAACTTCAAAAAACCTGCACTGTAGTTGGGTGTTATTGCATTTGAACCAATATCTGGTACATGGTTAAAAAGCCAATATTTAAAAAAATAAGTCCCCAACCTTAATTAAAAAATTAGTGGTACCACAGTGAACTGATCACAAGACACGGTTCCCAGTCACTGAAGTCAAGCATTAATGGCTGCTGCCAGCGAGATGGTGGATGGTCACTTTGATCAGCCTGCAAAGAGACCGAAAGTGTGCGGTATCAGCCCTCGATAATCTGTTCTACAAAAATGTGATTGACTTCTCGCGCAAGTCATTTAACTGCCAAAGAAGTGGAGCTATCTCCTCTGGGGAGAATCAAAATCGTGGTGGCATGTCTTCAGATCATCCTCATGTATGTTTTTCCAGACCGTCGCCAATAGCGCATTGATCAGTTCTAGAGCGACTACTAGTACTAGTACTAGTACTAGTAATAAAGTACTAGTACCACTAGAAAGGTTATTCAAAATGCATTTTATATGAGTAAATTGTAAAAAAAAAATAATAGTTTTTTTACTCTATTTTAGGAGTCGAAAGGAGGATCTGAAAGGATGGGACGTGTTTATAGTCACTCCTCCCGAAGAGGAGGACGAGACAGCAACATCAAAAGCCATCGATATTACCCTAAAAATGATGAAAGTCTTCGTATACTTGCTAACGTTCGCCACTGTACTAGTATCCGCTGTCATAGCAAAAGGTAGCTTCCTTTTCATGACATCCCATATGCGGGAGAGCAAGACTTTACCTGTATGCCGCAAGGGTTTAGGTAAGTCGATTTCATTGTTTTTATGTCAAAAAGTATCACGTCATAATCAATGTTATTTACCGACAACATAATAACAGAGACAACATTTAATAATATTAACAGTGAAATGCCAGAACATAGTAAATGTTTTGAGTTGTGAATGGGCCAATAGAACATTCACTATTCGAAAAATGTAGTTCCTTCATTGAAATTTTACTGTGTGGTTATTAATGTTCCTGACTAACAGCATAATAATACAGGGATAACGTTTCACAGTAATATTAATAGCGCGATATACTAGTAGAGCATTCACTTCTAGAATAACACAATTTCTTCATTGAATTTAGACTACATTATTATTACAGCACAATCAGAGACATAATGTTTTAACAGAAATAACCACTAACCAGTAGAAATTTCACTTCTGGATGACGTTTTGTCTTTATTGAAATTTTATAATGTGGTTATCAGTGTTTCTGACGGACAGCATAATAGGGGAGATAACATTAAACAGCAATATTAAAAATGCGTTGAACCAGTAGAGCATTCACTTCTAGGAAGATGTAATGTCTTTATTGAAATTTTATAATGTGGTTATCAGTGTTNTAGGTAAGTCGATTTCATTGTTTTTATGTCAAAAAGTATCACGTCATAATCAATGTTATTTACCTACAACATAATAACAGAGACAACGTTTAATAATATTAACAGTGAAATACCAGAACGAGGTGAATGTTTCGAGTTGTGAATGTGCCAATAGAACATTCACTACTCGAAAAATGTAGAACCTTCATTGAAATTTTACTGGATGGTTATTAATATTCCTGACTAACACCATAATAATAGAGGGATAACGATTTACAGCAATATTAATAGCGCAATATACTAGTAGAACATTCACTTCTAGAAAAACGTAATTTCTTCATTGAATTTAGACTACATTATTATCACAACATAATCAGAGACATAATGTTTTGACAGAAATAACCACTATCTAGTTGAAATTTCACTTCTAGGATGACGTTTTGTCTTTATTAAAATTTCATAATGTGGTTATCAGTGTTTCTGGCGGGCAAAATAATAAGGGAGATAACATTTAACAGCAATATTTATAATGCGTTGAACCAGTAGAACATTCACGTCTAGGAAGATGTAATGTCTTTATTGAAATTTTACTAGGTGGTTATCAATGTTCCTGGCAGACAATATAAGAAGAAAGATAACGTTTAACAGCTATATTAGTAGTGCAATGTGCTAGTTATATTTCCATGTCTTTTTTTTTTCAAAAGGAGTTCATCATCCAGTAATCTTCTAAATCAAGAGGATCGTGACTAAATAAAAATTTCCATTTCAACCCTTCAGTCAGAAGTTCATCTGATTAAGACACCCACCATTCACCTGTAGGAGTGGTAATTCTCTCTCAATACGTAGAACGACGCCAAAAAAACTAGTTTGAAACAAAAAGAAATGCCGATTTGTGGTCATTGTTCGAAGTGGATAGGCAATTGAAGTATCCCCGCTCTGATTGCTTTTATTTTTCATGCCAACTTCCATAATTGTCTCCTGATTGGCATCAGGGCAGTAAATCACGACACCGCTTAAAATTCTGGAACTCTTCATTGTCACAATATTGAAGAGAAATTCGAATTATAAGAACAAAGAAGAGGAAGCATTTGTTTCTTTTGGTTTGGAGGAGAATGCAGCATGAATGTTTGGATGTTCATTGCTGATTGAAATTGATTTTAAAAAAAATATTGGGGTTAATCGACTTGTTTCCGATTCATTGGATCTCTGAGAGAGAAAAAAAAGTCGGGAATTCGATTGATTAGAATCACCAATTGAGAGGAGAATCATTTATATAAAAATGTTTATTCAAGATTCATTAACTTCTTGGGGAGAATTTTCCTTATTCTCTTAAATCAATGATATAATCTATCGTTGTTATGTATTTTTATGCTATGTTAGATCTATATTCAAATCTATTAGTGCTGCTTTTGTTCATATTTCTGACCCATTCCTTGATAAAAAAAAAATACATTAAAAAGTTTTTCAGCTACTTTATTCATGACGTTTTATTTATAAATGTTTGAAAAAGAAAGGCATTACATTTATACTGACAATGCCTGTCTTCATAAGATTTAAAGTGAAAAAAATTTTATTTAAAAATAGATGTCCCATAGCTACCATCTGTAAGATCGTTGTATATTAAGGTTGGTAATTAAAATTTCAAAGTAAATTATTTTACCCACCACGCGGAATCAATAATTTAAACCTATGCATTTAAGTGTTGGTAAATTAGCTTAATTTTTAAATTATTTATCAAAATTTAATTATTATTTTACTGCTACTTAGTAAGATCTTTCCGAACAACTGATCAAGTTGGCAGCTAATATGGCCTGAGAAAGATCTCGAGATAGAAATTTAATTAACGTATTTTCAAGTTATATTATATTTTTTTAAAGTGGCCCTCTCCATCCAATCGCTTTATATGAATTGTCAGTACAGGTAGAAAATAGTTATCATCCGTAAAAACGTACTCTTTGTTTTCAGTATTAAACTTTTTTATGGTAAATGTAATCTTTGTTTTGTAAACAATTGCTTTTTACAAAGATACTAAATATTACTACTAAAATACGTGACTATTTTATTTTATATCCATTTAAATTTAATATAAAAACCATAAAATATGGTTATAATTGTATTTTATGGTTATATCTTATGGTAACCATAATATATTAAACTTAAACATATTTCAATTTCTAAGCTGAATAAAAAAACAATTTAGTAAAAAGTGTTATATGAAACAAAAATATTAAACACGTCCGCTTTCTTTTTATAGAGAAAGAAAATATATAAGATTTTTTTTAAGAAAAATTTAACTACTTTTCCTCCCACTGCTGAATTATAATTAAAAAAAAGTTTTAAAACTAGTGAAATTTGATTTAGGTAAAGCTGAGAACACTTTTACAATTTTTAGCAGCAGTCATGGCACTTTATTAAATACATAAAATGTCACAAGGTTTAGTAGGTCAAAATGCCATTGCAACAATCAATAACTCTGTAATCTAAAAACCACGTAATCATGAGTATTATTAATCATAATAACAATTTTAATTTTAATTATACGTATTCATGATTATTTGCAACATAATCGAAATTCGAAAGAATAATAATTACTTAATCTTAAATCATTACAAATTGTAATCAGTACCTTATTAGTTTTAATCATAATGTCATTGTTATTCGTAATCTTAGATTATTGTTAGTTCTAATTTTGATTATAAAGGCAATCGTAAGTATTGGCTCGTGATTACAAATAATCCAATACATTAACCCAATTCTAAAAGATGCATCGTAAAATCATTTTGAAGAATGTCCCAAGTTTTTTGAGTGATTTCTGAGGATGAAAACACTTTTTAAACAACAATTCGATTCTTTTTACTTGATTAATTTATTTTCTGATACGTATTTTCAATCTATATAGCATTTTTGAATGCTGGTTGTGTGACGGATTTAAAATAAAAACTTATAGCTTAAAAACTTACGTTTATTTTGTAGGTATTCCTTTAAATATGCTTTTGTAAGAAATTTTACCACATATCATATTGAGATGCATTTGTTGGAAAAGTTTTGCTATCGTTTATTTCAAAAAGCATTTAATAAATATGTTATGATTAATTTTTTTTTCTCTTTCAGGTTTAGATAGAGATAGAGATTATGAAGTGTATATACCCACGATAGAAAGAGTAGCCTGGATGTGGGGCTGTTTTTTTGTCTTAGTTATACCAGAGTTCTTTAGCTTATTTCGAAGTTTTCGTATTTGTGTATTTAAATCATATAAAAAGCCAAAACCCTTGTCTTTAATAACAGTAAGTATTTTAAAACCAATATTTAATTACTGTGTAGCTATTTTTTTTTTTTTTTTTAGTTTTAAATTGTCATCATTCATTTTATAAAAAAAGCATTTCAGTGCAATACACTTCAGAATTTCTTAAGTTTTTCACTCTTCCAAAGCTCTTTTTCAGTGATAAAATATAAATATAGATTGATGATATGAGTTAAAGATTAGTATTTAGTTGGGAAAAAATGCCAATGGGCAACTATTTGGGCACTTAATCTTTCTAAAAATTTTAAACGAACTTTTTTTCACCATTTGTTTTTGTGAATAAATAACACCGTAAGACATGTTGATTTTAAAATTCAGTACTTAGTTAATCACAAAACAAGCAGAAAAGTCTGTTTAAAAAAATTAAGAGTTTTGAAGAAGAGTTGAATCTTCGCTGAGAACTGAAGTTTTTAATTCTTGTTTCTAAACTTCTTCGTTAACTTTACAAATAATAGCAATAAGTAATGAATGTAATGCAATTTTCGGGGGAAATTATCTAATTAGCTAGTTTTTTCTCCTTTAATAGAGATGTCTAAGCTTACATCCCTTCACTTACCTGTCCACTGGCAATCCATCAATGATCAATTAGTTACAAATGGTCCAATAAGAATACGTTTCTATTGCAGTGGGGAAGCAAATCATCCAATAGGAATAGTGCAAAACTTGGCGAACAAAAAACAACCATTCCCAACCGCAAAATTATGACAATTGATAAATTTCTTCCACTCAGTGATATATTTCAGCCTTTAACTTAAACATTTCTATTATAAGTTTCGATTCCATGAATACTTTTTTATTAAAACAAAAGACTCAACAATTTTTCTTCCATTGTATCAAATCTTTTAAGTTGTTTCCAGTTTATGGTACCTTTTAATTTTATCAAACACGCGTTATAAAAACCTGTAAAAATGATGTGAATTTTTCGTCTTTCAGGTATTTATTGCAGAAACAATGTATACAGTTGGTTTATGTCTCCTAGTATTTGTCGTCCTACCAGACCTTGACGTCATCAAGGCAGCCATGCTCACGAACTGCGTCTGTTTCATCCCTGCAGTCATCAGTCTTCTTTCCCGCCACTCTGATGAACCAAGAAGACCATTAAAAGTGATATTTGACATGCTTGCCATCATCTTCCAAGGCAGCGCCTTGGCTATATGGCCCATCACTGAAAGTGGGCCAAGAGCTTGGACAATTCCAATTGCAGTAGTTCTTGTATCAATGAGATGGTGGGAAAACTATCTGGATAAAAGATCTCCTATAGCATTTATCAAAAAGCTCAGTAGCATCAAGGAAGATCTTCGGAAAAGTCGATATTTCATATATGTTTTCCTATCCGTGTATAAAATGGTACTCATATTATGCACTATGTTCGGCTTAGCTCATTTAACAATGGAAAATGCTTCGCTCATATTTAAAGGTTTTTCGCTCAGCTTTCGTAGCCATCCTATAAGTATTCAACAAATAAGAAGAACAGTTCTCCTTTCTAATATGCCTGACATTCCAACAGCAAGTCCATTAGATGAGCAAGTATCAATTCAGTCTGTTGCTTTGGCACCAATTCACTTGGCGTTGATACAAATTAGTGCTGCGCTTGTGTGTTATGTCTTTGCCAAATTTGCTTGCAAGATATGTATACAAGGATTTAGTTTTGCCTTTCCTATCAGCTTAACGATTCCGGTATGCATATCAATGCTGATTGCCGCTTGTGGGATTAGAACAGAAGACGAATGCTTTTTCGAATCTTTTATACCTAAATACTTGTTCTGGACTTGTCCTGAAGGAAACTTCCTACAAGAGTTTGTGTCAGATAAATTTGCATGGATATGGCTACTTTGGTTATTGTCACAGACTTGGATAGCAGTACATATTTGGACACCAAAATGTGAACGTCTGGCTAGCACAGAAAAGTAAGTTTCTGATTTTCTTTTTCCGCTTTAACATCCTTTAAATCTTTCTTGTAAGAATGCATAAAAAGAGCGTTTATTTTAAACGGTTATCGGAATTAATGCTAGAATACTACTGTGCTCAAATGTAATGGCTTTTTAAAACTTTTTCCAAAAATGCGCAGTGAAAAAATTGAAAAATATTAAACAAAATCAATAAATAATCGAATAGAAGGCTCTCAAACAATTCCTTTCCTATTATTTTTGTTTATCAATGGAAAAATATCCCCTGAAAATTATGCCTTGCTTAAACTTATTACAACTTGTTTTTAATAAATAAAATCGTTCGTAGAAAAAAATTGCAAAAATTACTGTTAAAATTAAATAAGAAGAATTTCTGGCATATACATGCATACTTGAAAGTTTTTAACCAAAGTAACTGGATTGGAATAGAGCCAAACTTAAATCGTTGAGTTAAAACTACAAACAGCAAAGTTCTCAAAATATATTGGCATCGCAATTTTTAAGATTTTCTGCAATTGGGAGAGAAATACTCAAAAGAAGAACGTAGACTACTAAAAAATAACTAATTTTCTCAAGAAGATAAACTAGCTTTGACATTTCTATAATTACTTAAAATATAAAATAAATAATTGGATAAACAGCTGCATCTAATGAAGCAAATGATATTAGTTTGGTACTCAGCAAATGAAGAGCTCGGTACCAAAATCTGCTATTTCTAGAATACTTCGAATAATAAATAAGTTAATTTCTTCAAGGAAACGATAATTGAGAAAAATCGTTTTTGATTTTATATGCAGACCAATCCAGACCAATGAAGTTTGAAGTTTAAAGCATAACACAGCCTTGGATTGGAAACATGTTAAATAAGTCTTGAAATGTAGTTTTATATCTAAATCAATTTTCATCTTAACTTACTTAGCAGGTTTTGATATTCGTCATCTCAAATTTAAGAATAAAAATCGTATTTTTGACTATTGCTATCTTGCATTACCCAACAGGTTGTTCGTGAATCCTATGTATTGTGGGGCTTTAATAGATCAGTCCATAGCTCTAAACAGAAGAAGAGATGACGAAGGCGAAATAAAAAGTGAAGTAAGTTATTTTGCTTTTATTTCTCTCATAAATTAATTTAATCTCATAAGTTATTTAAGTCAAGATAAAAATGCTTGCACAATTTTATAAGTTTAAGCCTTGAGCCATGGTGTCCCAGGGCTCAATATGATGGTGGCGCTTGCCTCAATAATGAGGTGACCCGGGTTCTAACCCAGCGACAGCTGGTCGATTCGAATTCCGCACCCGGCTCGCAACGACCACAGTTCTGATTTAAAATATCCTCAGTGGTAGACGAATCATGAGTTAGAGTCCTCTTGCCGTCAGGTTAACTGTGGAAAGTTTTCTTGGTTTTTCTCTCCATGTAACGCAAATGTAACTATTCCCCATGTAACGGGTTAGTTGTATCAAAAAATTCCTCCACGAAGGCAAATTTCTCCTAATATTTGAACCAGGAGTTCCCTTGTCTTCTGAATTGGGTTCTAAATTACAAGACTACGGAGTTGAACATTAGTAGCCGTAAGCCCTAAATTGGGTCGATTGTTCAATGACTGTTATAAAATAAAATAAAAAGTTTAAGCCTTAAGCAAATGTGTTTTGATTCTATTATTCAAGTGACACTTAATGGTGAGCAAAAGAAGAAAATAAAATGGACTATCCTAGATAACTTTTCATTTAATTTTAGGATTTTTACGTTCTAGTACTCAATCTTAATGATTCGAATGGGAGACTTTAAATATGCAAATTAATTAGTGCAGACGATATTTTAAGTTACGAAATCAGAGATAAAAACGAACTTTTTCTGAATAAAAATAAATTTTTTTTCGATGGATTTGGATTCCTTACCCCCAAAATATAGGAGTCAACCGCCATCTGGGAAATATGGTCCCAATAGTTTGAGCAGGAGAGCGTTCTAAAGCAGGAGAGCGTTCTAAAGTTGGTACCCCTTAATGTTGATTTTACTTTTTACGTATTTTACCATATCTTGAAACTTTTTAAAAAAATTTTCCCCTAATTGTAAAGTTCATTTATCTAAAGATAATTCCATGCAAGAAATAACGTTTAGTAAATATTATTTTTAATTCTTGTATTATTTCATTTATTAATAGTAATAGTCGAAAGAAATTTTATTGTAAGGTATGCAATGTTTTAAATCATTTTAAAGATTGTAATTTCACATGACAAGATACAAAGCTTGTGCGAAATTGGTCGACTAATTCCTGAGAAATCATATCTTAAAAATACGACTTTTTACAGTGAATACAGAGAAAGTACATTTTTTTGCCTGATTCGTAACTTAAAATACCATCTGTATTAATTAATTATCCTGCTTGAGGTCCTCCCTCTCAAACTACTAAGATTCAGTCCTAGAACGTGAATATCCGATCATTGAATAAAATGCTATTCACGTTTTTTTTTTTTTTTTTTTTTTTTTTTTTTTTTTTTTTTTTTTGCATTGCATTGCATTGCATTGCACTAAAAAATATCCAAGATGTAACGTATACAATTTATAATGATCATGATTTTCAGACTAAATTATGTCACTGGTGTGTTGGTTTCTAGAAAATAATTGTTGAATTGTTGAGATGGTTATTATACAATCTCTACTTGGTGCTTCTGTTTAACTCTTCATCCAGGTGTACACTTTTTTTAATGAAAGAAGATATTGAAATTGATCTGTAGCAAAACTAAAAGCAAATAAGAATCATTGACTGAATCTTCCTTCCACCTTATATTTTTGAATATTACTTGAAAAATTTATGTTGCCTAACATGCGTAACGTTTTCATGTCGATGAAGAGCTTAAGTATGCAGAAAGCTACCGATGAAACACAGTTTATGTGCAAAGTTTAAAATAGTTGCTAGATTAAAATGGTTAATAGATTTCTTCTGAATAAAGTTGAGAACTTATTGTGTATCTTAATATTTTTCATTTATTTATTTCGTTACAGGAATTAGATTTAGAAAATAAAGAAGATAACGATATCTCTCAGTACTACGAAACCATTTCCATTCGCAGCGAAGAATCCAGTAGTCCATCGGGTAAAAGTGTCCCTGTCAAAGGATCTGATCATATCACAAGAATCTATGCTTGCGCAACTATGTGGCATGAAACTGCTGAAGAAATGTTGCAGATGTTAAAATCAGTAATCAGGTAACCCATTTATTTGATTTTTTAGAGTGAGTAAGCCCAGCAATCTTATCTTTGCCCCTGCTTGAGTAGAATCATGTATGCAAAATGCATTTCGACTGAAATGTAAAATTGCTTGTTTCTATATTCCAAAATCTAAAACAAACTCTTTCGATCCAATTTGTGACATAATAATCCCTTTTAATGCAAGAAGAAAATTTTATTCATTTATTTTATTTTATTTCATTTTATTTATTTTATTTATATTATTTCATTTAATTAATTTATTATATTTTAATTATTTTATTTATTTTATTTTATTTTATTAACTTTTTTTTATTCTTCCTTTATTTCAGTTTTATTTTTTATTTTTTTATTTTATTGTCTTTATATTTTATTTCTTTCATTTCACTTAACCTTTTTTTGTTTAATTTTTTATTTTACTTTTTTATTTTGCTTTGTTTTGATTTTATTTTTTCATTTTTTTTTTAAATTTATTTTTTCCATTTTATTTATTTTATTTTTTTCAATTTTTGTTTTATTTTTTTATACATTTTTTATTTTTATTTCATTTTTTTTAATTTCATTTTTATTATTTTATTTTTTATTACTTTTATTTTTTTATCATTCTTTTCATTTTAATTTATTTTTATTTATTTATTATTTATTTATTTTTTTATTTTTTTTAATTCTAATTTATTTTATTGTTCTGATCCGATTGCTACCATAATTCCGTTTAAGATCTTATATATTCCGTTTAAGATCTTATATAGGTGAAATTCCTTGAAAAAGGAAGGAAAAAAAAGTTTTCCGTGACATCTAAATCAATCACCTAAATTATTTCTTTATTCGTGAATGACCACCTAGAGCGCATCCTTTAGCTTTATGACCTCATCTATCTTTCGATCCACACTGCATAAACCCAGTTTATTCCCATTCGAAATGAACGACCAGGAAATTCACTTTCGAGTTGCGTAACATTTAGGTTTGAGGATTCTTCAAGTTCAAAAAACTCATGTTTGAAGCAACTAAGACGGATCAGATTTTCTCTGTTTAGATTTCTTTTGTATTAACAAAAATATCCATCACAACTTTGGAGTAACTTTTTTTTCTTCCTAAACACACAATCCGTACTCAGCATTTTGTCTTTACGATTCAGCCTCGGGACATTTCGTCCCTTTCAGGTTAAATTGCACTAGGTTCCAAAATGCGTTAAATTTAACAGCAGTGTATATTTGTATAACTTCGCTATATGAATATACACTGTTATTTATATAACGAGCTATAATGTTCGTTTATAAAAATTAATAAATTTTTTTTTAAAACTTTCATTTGACAAGATATATTAAGGCAATATTTTTATTTTTCAAATTTCAGATTTTAGCGGATTAAGTAATGTAAAATGTTTATAATTCAGAATTAAAAATTTTTAATAAAGATAAAAAAAATAATCATATTATTAAAAATAAAATTATTTTATTTTTAAAAATAAAATTATTACATTATTAAAAAATTATTTTATTTTTAAAAAATTATTTTATTTTTAAAAAATTATTTTATTTTTAAAATTAAAATTAATACATTTTTAAAAAATTATTTTATTATTGAAAAATTATTTTATTATTAAAAAATTATTTTATTTTTAAAAAAAATTTTTATTTTTAAAAATTAAATTATTTTATGATTGAGAATTTATTTTATTGCTAAAAATAAAATTATTTTAGCATTGAAAATTTATTTTATCATTAAAAAAATTATTGTACCATTAAAAACTTGTTTCATTATTGAAAATGAATAAAATTATTTTAGAATTTTATTATTAAAAACTAATTATAAGTAAACACATTTTAGTGTTGAAGAGCTCAAAGAAAGATACATTAAATGTTAGAAAAATAAAGGCAAAAGGAAGGTTGCAAAATTCGTACAAAACTTGCCTAATATTGAGCATAGTTTTAGAAAAGAAAGAAAATTATTTTTTATATCTTCATTGAAACAAAACAATCAAAATACAGTTCTAGAACTACAAAAAATTTATTGTTTGATTATAGTATTTTGTGTTTTAAATTTTAAAAATACGGTATTTAAAAGAGATTAGTCTTGTAAGAATTCTCACAGGTGTTTTGCATCTTTTTAAACCATTTAGAAAAAAATTGTTAGAAAATTAACATAAAATTAATTCTCATTTTGTTAACAGGAGAACGTAATTTCAATTAAGTAAGTAAACCCCCCACCCCGAAAAAGAAATTTTTCTTCTTTTTTTTTTAAGAATACGCTTATAATGCCAAATGGTAACACCCGAATTAGCATTAAAAAACTATTTAGTCCAATTTATTTAAGAACTTAACCCGGTCAAATTCATATTCGATATTTATAACCAATTATAAATGTTCTTAAACTTGGAAATTTGACAGCATCAAAAATGTCAATTTGCACATTTTACAGAATCAAAAATTTTAATTTGCTCATTTGACAGCATCAAAATGTCGATTTGTACGTCTGACAGCATAAAAATGTTTACTTGCCTGCTTATTAGCATCGAAGAAGTAAATTTACAAAAACTCTACAGTTATGAGTTCCACGCCTAAAGTGTATAAATAAAATTAAAGAGGCTCTAATGTTTGACGATTCTTTTGTTTTAACTAACGTATTTACGCCACATTTTTTTAAATCACCGCTAAAATCGCCCTTATTTTTATTTGCTATATATATCTAAATCAGGGCATACTTCTGGAGATAATCTATAGTCTGATCCATTTCTATTCCTAGAAGATATAGAACAAAAACAATGTTGCTTGAAAATTAGCTGCGACCAGTTAAGAAAAATTCCCCGTTTTAACGAAGCAAATTCGCATATCACTAATAATAATTTATTTATTATTAATGAAATAGATATATAGAAATTTTGATAAACTGTGAACTTAAAAAAGAAATCTACAATTAAAAAAAATTTTACACAAAAAACAGCCAACTTGTTCAACATGCAAGAAAATCATTCAAATATTTGTTAGCGACGGCAAACATTCAATCATTCATTTCCCAATCTCACGAAACCATAAGAAATTCCGAATCAAAAATAATTTGAGATCAAAAACCCGTGAGAAGAATTAAACGCACGCAATTCGACCTTGATATTTCCTTTGAACGGTACTTTTTTGTTTTTGTTTCTACCTGGCTGAACACCATTCCACATCTGCAATTTTCGCCATTTTGTTCTACTTTGCAACGAACGGGGAAAGTTATTAGGTTAGTGAAAATTCCACCACTTCCTTTACCTCGACTAATTCTTCGCCTCAAAGCCAAACAAAATTTAAACCTTCTTACAATTTTTCTTGCACAAAACATCGTATAAACACTCATTTAAAAAAGATAAAAGGACGCAATTGCGATAGACAAATTACAATGCTGGATCAAGGCTATAATTCGGGTTTTTGGAATCTCTTGAAGCGAATAAATTGTTTCCGTATTCGATTTGTGTGTTTTGATTTGATGTTTACTACTTGTTTGAACACTTCAGGCAATCCCTTCGAACCAGAAGTGTTTAAACTTGGCTTATAATTTAATACATGCAATATAAGATTCAGGTTATTTTGTAGCTGAATTTAGAACTTCAGTATTTTGGATTGTTTTTATTAGCTTTTACTCTCATATAAGCAGCTTTGAACGTTTTTAAATACTTTTATCATAATTCAAACAAAAACAAAACCATAAATGCGATCTTGACACAAATTATAAGTTTATAAACATTATTTTATTTATAAACATGCTAAGTCCGATTAAAAGTCCGATTCAATAATCCGTTGATTCTCTCATGATTCGCTTATATGACCTAACTCGACCCTACATTAACTATGTTATTCAACGATACGCTTTATTTCTTACCTTACAACATTCATTCGCTCTCTTTTCATGAGAATTCAGCCAGATATTCGGTATTTGATAAATTAAATTTTGAAAACAAAACAGTCGTCATCACGGAGTTTATTAAACAACGTTGAAAAACTGAACTTAGTAAAAATTTCCGCGATATAAATATGTTTAGGAACCAATAACAAACATTAACAATACGTGTCTTTTCAGTAATAAAGAAAAATATGCGTAAAAAATTAAACTGCCAGTATGTACTGTTCTCGCGATACAGAGATAAGTATATTTTTTATGAGTATGTTTCTTTTTCCTTTTTTTTTGTTGTTTTTTGCATGTATTTTAAGGTAAAAAATGTGTACTTCACCTATATTCAAAACGTTTTGAAATCCTGATTTGAAAAATATATTTAAAAGAAATACTGATATCTACTTAAACTTTCGAATTAAAATAAAATAAAGGTTTGTTTCCACAAATTATACTTATAAACGAAATAAAATAAAAACTGTAACTAATTAACAGAGATTAATTATATTTTAAATAATTCATTATTTAAAAATAATACAGCAGAAAAAACGAAGTTTTGAAAATAGTCTTCAAAACTAAAGCCTATTCATCCTTTCAGACTCAATAATATTTTATCGGTACCTCTCATTGACGGTAATAACATAAATTATTAAAATTGTTACCTTTTTATCAAAAAATAACAAATAAAAAATTGTTCCGTATCTACCACTACAGTTATTCAATTTCAATCCCCTAGTGCAGGGATGGCGAACCAATGGCACGCGTGCCACTTATGGCACCCGACACAATATTTAGGGCACGCCACCGATCACATTTGTTATTACACAAATGGTATTACTCTATGAAGCATATGTAACAATTAAATTAAAATTCACAAAAAACACACAAAATAATAAACAATTATTAATTAAAAATTAACAATTAATGCTAAAAAAAACAATTAATAACCATAAAAAACAAGCTAACAATAAATAACTAGCAAAAAAATTAAGTCCTGCTTAAACTAACATCTTACAACCTAATGTAAGTTATTTGTCATCTAATCTGCAACAACAGAAGTCACACTGATGTTACTTCAAGTTGAATTAAGCGTATAACTGAGACATTGCATAATGTTTTTTTTTTTCAATGTAAATAAAGAGTTTTGAGTTGATAGTATTTAGTACTATTATTTTCCCAATAATCACGAAGTTAAAATTATTTTAAGGGCACGTCTATGCCCTCATCAAGCAATTTTTTAGAAAAAATGGCACGTTGGTGTATAAAGGTTCGCCACCCCTGCCCTAGTGTATAATACATGTTAACTAGATTCTGTTTTGGGGTACCTCTTTATAGATGAAGGTTGACATTGTCGATAACACTCGCTCCTCATTGGTGACCTGCGGGCGAGATTTGAACACTATTCTAGAAGCTTTGTCTAAATTGCTAATATTCATCAGTTATTTTTGGAAAATATAAACATTGCTTAAAATGAGGGAAAATTTTATGAACTTTTCATCCTCAAACAATTAATTACATATTACTTATAAACAGACACTCCTGACAGTTTCCGTCATAATCAAAAAACTAACTTTTGTGTGAGTGGGATATTATCTATTCTAACGTGCAAAAACTAAAGACACGTATGTCACGTTCTATGATTCTGAGCAAGTCACGTTTATGTTGATGTCATTATTTTGCATTAAAATAGCCTGTTTCTTTTGTATGCAAAGTTGTGTTTTTAGAAATAAAGAACAGACAGTTCACGGGGTCATCATGAAAAATCGCATCAAAATGTACTATTTTTTAAAGAAAAAACTCCTTTTTAAATGGATTTGTTGGAATAATTCGATACCAATGATTTCGCTCTTTACTGAAATCTCCTCAAATCATTGGAGAATCGTTGAATACTTATACTTGTAAAGCGATGCAAAATTGCAAATATACCTTCGTGTATGAAATAACGTAATTTTTGCAATTCCATAGGTTTGCGGTTCACGCGTATGATTGCTTACTTAATTGTTTTATTGGCTGCATAAAACAGTGTAAAATTGTACTCAAACTCATTTTCAGAATATGATATAAAAAGCAATTTTAAAAATACCGATAGACTAAGAAGGTGCGCATTGTCGTTGGTACAGCTTCTAATCTTCGAATTTGTTTAGCAATCTTTGTTGTTTCTTGCCGATAGGCAAAGGCTAATTAAATATTTGACTGTTACATCAAAATTAAAAATTATTTAATTGAAATTGCTTACTTCGTTTTTTCTGAATTTACATAATTTTTTATTTTTTTAACTCCGCGAAATTAATTTCCGAGTCTATTGGTATAACTGAAACCTTTTCAGGGCCGTGATTATATATGCGTTATCGCGTGATTCTCCCTTCATCATATATGAGCCTTTCTGAATCTGTTAAATCTGGCTTTTTTGATATCCATTGCAATTACATCCATTAACATTAACTTGTTTTTTTAAATTCTTATTTAAATTTTAGTTACTATAAAAATTCATAATATATTTTTAGCTTAAAAAATCATTCAGCAATAGTACGAAAATATGATATTTTTAATATTGCTTTCGAATTTTAAGGATTTTTTCTGTAATCATTAATTGCATTCATTGACTTAATATAATTTAACATAAAATAAATTACAAAATAAATATAGCTTTTTAAAAAGTAGATAAAAACTAATTTACCTTTGGAAAATTGTAAAACAAAATATCTTTATTATGTTGCGTATTACGCTAACACCACGCCATGGAACAACGTTTTTAGATTCAAGTCTTCAATTTCGAAAATGTAATAATAACAGAGAACAATATTAAGAAAGTGTGGTAAATGCCTATCAATTAATATAAATTTAAAATATTTCTTGAAAATTTTGGAATAAAATTTTTTTTATAGGCTTAGTTGAATAGCTACACAGTTTAAAGCGAAGCATAGTTTGGAATTTTTTTATTTGAAAGGAGAAGAGGTATTTAAATTTTAAATTTATAAACTTGAACTTTGATTTTCTTTGATGAAAGAAATCAATTCAGCGATTCATTTAATGTGCAGTTAATCAATTTTGGTCCTATCTGAATAAAACATGAAACACATTTTATTGTCTTTATTGGTTGATTTATTTTCTTTTAAGTGGATTGATTTTTAATATTTTATATCGTTAATTGCATCGGATTAACTTCTTTTATGTATTTCAGAATGGACGAAGATCAATGTGCTCGAAGAAATGCACAAAAATATTTAAGAATCGTGGATCCTGATTATTATGAATTTGAAGGTAAATAATTTTTATCAGTCGTAAATATTCGAAGAAAGTTTTTTAGTTTCCTAAACTTTTCATTCAAAGTTTTAGAAAGCATACAGATTTTACGAAATAGTTTTGCATCTTTCGTCGCTATATTTGTTATACTGTAAACCTTGTCATATTTCAAACTTATAACTTAAAGCTCTTTATAGATATTTAACTCATTAGTTAACTTTTGGAGTTAATTTATTAGAGATTGAAATTGTTTTAAAAAACTTCAATCAATAAAAATGAAATCTTGTATTACAGAATATTGTAAGGATATAGTAAATATTGGGTGGGTAAAAAAATAATCTTGGTTTTTTAGAGTGATGTAAAATTCAATGTTTACTAAACAAAAAATTAACTTTAACCAGTCAAATATCTTTTATTCTGTTCGATGAGCTTTTGCCATCTTTCTGATAGCTTGAATGAAATTTAACTAGACCAATATATTTTATTCCGTTCGATGCCATCTTTCTGATAACTTCATGATCTCGCATTCATAAAACAACTGGTCCTTATCAGCAAAAAACTCAACTCGCGTAAGAAGCTTGGTTCGGAAGTGATGTCGCATCCTCCATAAAGCCAGGACCTAGCACTATATTATTGTTCATTTCAAAGCTTAGAAAACTTTTCTAATCGTAAAAATTTCAATCAAATCAATCAATTGCATCAATCAATCAATCAAATCAATTGCACACGATGATAAGGACCAGAAGTTGCTGATATGGACCGGAAGTTTCAGGAACGCGGGATCATGAAGTTATCAGAAAGATGGCATCGAACAAAATATATTGGTCTGGTTAAATTTCATTTTTTGTATAGAAAAAAAAAAGAATTTTCCCTTACATTTAAAAAAAAGACCGAAATTACTATCGTGTCATCCCAATATAAGTCGGAAAAGATGAAGGCTAAGACTACGATAACTCAATTCCGTTAAATGGGATTTTAAAGTGATTAGGTGCAAGAAACAGGCAGAGAAATAAGCAGTGGTAGGTAAAACCTTCAACTGAAAATTTTGACCCATCTTGGATTGCAGCATCAAATGATGATAGCAAATGTAAGAGAAAATGTATTTATATCAATATTTTGTATGGTAAAAAATTAGTTTTTTTAATGGAATTAGTATTGTTCGTTAAAATTCATTACTTTAACTCACGTTTATCCAATCGTGAAATTCGCTGGTTAGTTATTGAGACGCCAAAGCTATTTCAACGAAATTTATGAAGAAATTGTTAACAATTTATATTCATGTCTGCAGAAACGCCTAACATTATTCTTCACGTAAAACATTAGGAATACAGAATAGACTTTCGCTATGATAATGTTAATCTAGTTTTTTTTATTTACAATTTTTTTTTCTTCCAGTGCATGTATTTTTTGACGACGCCTACGAGCTTTGCGATGGCGATGACGAAGAGATGGTAGCGAACCGATTCGTCAAACAGCTTGTCCACATCATGGATGTAGCGGCAAGGTAAGCTGGCAGTTATGACTCACTCTAAGTTTTGCGGTCATCACGTTTATATCGTAAAGAGTTCGGAAAAAAACGTGAGCTCACCTCCAAACTGAAATCAGTGCTAAATCTTTTAATAGCTTTTTGCATACTTCATTTGTTACGCTGTTTTACTCAACATTACATTGTTCTCCATTTCATCTGCCCGATGCTTTAAACTGTTCATTGTTCATCAAAAAACTATATTTTTAAGCTATTGGGATAACTTGTTATCTAGTATAACCTTTAATATAAAGCTTTTCTCGGTATATATTTATAGAATCATTATCAAAAGTAAAGCGAAAAAGGTAAGCACACTAGGAGTTGAAAATTAATATTTAAAAAATAGAAAATAGAAAACCTCAGTAAAAGCAAATGAATCGCTTCTAAGGAAGACTGGATTAAAAACATCAAAAACTGTAAGATTGCTGAAAGAAATAGTCAGGCGATTACAAGAAACACCTTCAAATTTCATCGGGTAATCAAACTGGTTTTGTCTTTCATCCCACCTTTATCAATTTTGATTCAGAAGATTTAGTTGAGTTTTTTTTTTCCTTACTCGCTTAGGTATTTATTAATGACATGAGAAAAAATTTTCGTTTCTTTGACAAAATTATGTTAAATGTTGATTTTTATCTGAGATTTTTCAAAATTTTGCAATGAAACGGAAAGGTTTCGCTTCCCCTGCAAAATTTTGTTTCAAGGCCTTCGTTTCTTAAACGGAAATGCTTCTTTGTAATTTTAGTTTTTCCAATGAAATTTTTTCTTTTAAATAATATGAATTTTGAAATTTTGATCAAGATCTAAATGTAAAAATCTATTTGAGAACAAATAAAAACCGAAAAATTCCGTTAAAAATAAGTGAATAAAATATTATTATTAATTTAAGCGACACTGTCTAAATTCGTTTAAAAATTCACAAAACTATAAGAATTATGTTCTAAAGAGTTCCATTGCCCTTTGTGTTCTATAGTCTTTTGCATCACAAGAACCAATAGAATCTCATTACTCTAATAAAATTTAGTACAAACAACGTCCATTTGCTAGGAAAATATGAAATTTTTAGATAAAATTAATTACCCAATAAAGGTTTAGTTAAATTAAAAACTTTGACAAATTTGAAAAAATTTGGAAGGAAAGTAAAGCAATTTCATGCACATAATTTTTTCTCTTCATTATTTATTCCAAATGAAACCACAAAAATATTATTACTTACACTTTTTGAGAAGATTTTTCTTTCACTTCTCTATATAATAATAATAATAATAATAGTCTTTTAGACTATTAAGATTCAATCATTTGCACTGAGAAAAATCGTATTTCATTTTTTAGAATGGTTCCAAGGAACAAAAAAGCTAGCTTGATTTGATGGTTTACGAAATCCGAGTTCAATGAGGAAAAATTCTTTGGAGAAATCACGTATTCCTTTTGCTTCGAACTTTGTGGCAGTCCATAAGCAATATAACCATGGCAATCTATAAATCCTTAAGGCATTTCTATCAATAGTTATATCCTAGAGGGGGGGGGAATACAGCTTTTTAAGTAGATGATTTTGAAAATTATCACAATCGTGGTATAATACCTAATTTGAAACTCAAGCTTTTGATTAAAATATAATGCAAACCACATGAATCACATTGCTCTGAAACGGAATTTTGTAAATTGTTTAATTTTAGAAAACTTATAATTATTAATAATATATATTTTAAGACTAAAAACTCATTTTCTTTTAGAAAATATGAAAATGTAAAGTTCGCCTTTACTGCTTAAAAGCATTAACATGTATAAAAGTTACCCCTAAATATGGAAGAAAAACTTTATATGCGTATCTTCGAATTTAAAAAAAGATCAATTACCTTTAAATTTCCTGCAATTTTTAAAAGGTATAGAATTATACATTTCCAAAAATTAGTTGTCAGATATTATATTTTATTTATACTAAGATGATAAAGTGAAAATGGTTTTAAGAAGTATTGGAATATTATTATTTTCTCAAAAAATCCCATATTTTTTTCAGTATACTTTACACACTTTTACTTACATTTCAATAAAAAACGATTTTCTTGTTATAGTAATAGTTTGTAAAATATGCAAAATTTAAAAGTTAGTTTTAACACATTTGATTTAAAACGTGAAGTTAAAAAAAATTAACTCGGCAATAATGACTTTTAGAAAAATATTCTGAATCGAATATAATCTTAATTATTACGGTTTAAGACAAGCTTTAAAATTTTGATCCTATTAACGGTGTTGCTCTTAAAGAATAACGTGATTGTGAACAAAGTGCTTGTGGCCTTACTGATTCAATGAGTTTTACGATTAACCGTTACACAATATTGACGCCTTTAATATTTTTTCAACCTTCGTATTCTGTTGTTCTGAAAAACCCTAGTTATGACTTTTATCACCTCTTTTCAACGACGCGTGAATAATCATATTCAAATAGTTTTCAAGTATTTGAAAGGAGCGCTACATATATTAAATAGATCGTAAGAATTTAAATTTATGTTTCCGTTTCTCATAAAACAACGAAGTTGAATTAATTTTTGTCAGGATGATTTAATGTTATGTCGTCTGAAGAAATAAACGCAGTGGTAAGATGCGTTGATGAAGAAATGAATGATTATTTTAATGGCTGGAACATCTTAGATAAATTAATCTGAATAAAAATTTAAATACCATTTCCAACGAGACGAAGACGAGTTAGTATTGCTACCTAGTTTTTTATAAATATTCTTTAAATTGTCTTAGAGTTAAAAGACCTAATCGTAAGGCGGTAACGGACTACAGAAATAAAATTTAAAATTAAAATAAACAAAAATGTGGTGGCAATTTTGGGATAATATGTGGTGGGTAGTTGCCCATTTTAACTATATTTAACTTGTTGGATTTTAAAAAAAAAAGTCATGTCATAAAATAACTTAAATTATATATTTCTATTTGTTTATATATTTCTATTTATTTATATATTTCTATTTATTTATATAATTCTATTTATTCATATACATGTATTTTGCACGTTTAGTTTGCCAAAAATTGATTAATAATTAGGAATAATCACTGCAACTATTTTGTGAATTAGTTTTACAAAAAAGGAATTATAAATGAATAAATTTTACCATTGCATTTTATATTTCCATGGTACGTAAAAAATTGAAAATGCTACTTTTAATAACTCACTATATATCCTTAAATTATTATTGACTTTTTTCCTCTTTCCTTTCATTTTTTTTTTTTAAATCTCGTTTTATAAACTAAATTTATATAATATGGATTTATCATTATTAGAGAGACGTCGATTTCAGCAGTGGCGTGTTCAGATGCGTAACAAATAAAAATATAAAGGAATCGCGTGTCATAATATTGTACAAATTAACTTCAACCCTTATAAAGTGTTGAGCCACATTGGCCGTTGTCTCTTTCCCCATTTTCTCTGCACGCCACTGGCTGAACCCTATACTTGTACTAATTCTGATCCGAGTTTTTAAAAACCGTTATAAGGTCTTTGTCGTCTGTGATAAAAGAATTCCTAATGACTTCTACATCAAGAAAAATTATAAAAACAAATGAAGATAGCAATTTTACACGGCAATTCAATCTTAGCATTATCAACGAAATAGATAGCTATTTCCGCCTGAGTGATTCGACCTTGCCTTCCAGAAAAAATAATCAAAATACAGTTATAAGTAATACTACAATTGATTTGATTCACCGTAGTAAAATTAAAACTCGACATTAAACCCCAAGGCACTGTTACATCCTCATTCAAACTTTAAAAGTTGTCGCCAAAAAAGCGAACACTGGAAAGTCTACTTTTCCTACAAAAGCAAGCTTGGCAAGTCTGAGGAATGCCATCGGAAAACTTCTCTGGCCGAGTGGTTTTTCATGACCTAGATTTTTGCCACAAATAGGAAAAAAACAAACTATCGAACGGACAGTATTTCTTTTTTGTCTGTATAACTACTTTCTCTCGTATATTTATTACTAAGGGCTTTGGAATTGGGTTAGTGGTTAAATAACTATTTTGTTCTTTATCTGTGCTGCCGGTTCGACCACTTTCTTATAAACACGTTTCTTTTTCTCTTTGTTTTGTGGAATATTTTGATTAGAGTTGGTCGCTAAATAAACACAAGGACCAACGCCCATCCTTTGAAGGACTCTGAAAAGTTCTTGAATTTTGGGTATGACTGACCACTACATCGCTAAGAGTAGCCCCACCTTGTTCTCTTACAAAGCGCGTCCTTTTGTTATAGTTTCAACCTTCATTTTTCGGAATTTATAGCAATTAAGAAATATCGTTATATTTTTTTTTTAGCAACATCCTTGCTTCTTCAAATTTTAATTACATTATTTTATTTCCGAAGCATAAATTTCAGCATACATTTAAGAGTATCATCTGACTGATACTAAACTTAACATTTTGAATCTAAGAACACAAACGAATATTAAATTATGTCATGGTAATATTCAAAAATTCTGCCAAAATTTTCTCGGACAATATCATTCTTCCAATATTTTCAGGCATTAGGCAATATTATTTTTCAATATTCAAACTGTTGACCAGAACCTTATTAAAAACATTATTACAAAAAGCGAGGGAATACTGAACTAAACAGGATATGTCAGCAAATTAAAAAATTTTTGGAATAATAAATATAGTCTATTCTAACCTTCTACCGCTACTCAGACATACGAAGAGGTTAAATGGCTAAGGAGTACCATTTTAGTCGTTGACCATAGCTTTCCAATTTATTTAGTTGAGATATCCATGCACTAACAATAGAACGATTGTAAACTTTCTTATTAAATGACGCTCATTTTTAAAATCGTTACTGTCCATCCATATTTAACAAAAAAAATAGTTGAAGAAATAAAAAATTTAAAAAAACACAACACCAAAATTACTTTTGATACAATGATCGAATTTTCACGTTGTATGATGCAGTTTTAATGATTCGAGGGAATTAGAAACAAACCAATTAGAATAAAAGAGATAGCATACAAAATTTTATTTTTTCTGAATAAGCATATTCGTCTAATTCGGATTTTTGATCCTAAAACTAAGGTGATTTCCCACAATCTGGAAAACATTATCTCATTTAATCAAGTTAGCAGTCGAAAGTCTAAACCCTTTATTTAATTTTTTGCGATTTTAATCACATCTATAAAACTATTTAGATAAATTTTTAAAAAAAATGCAAGTCATTATTAAACACGTTATTCAAAGGTAATTCCATACAAAGAAAATTACAATTAATTATTGTCTCTTTATTATCTAATAATTTAAAAAATAGAATTGTAGAGATATTATAATATTTTTACTACATTTTAAACCATTTTTTAAATAAAAAAAAGCACAGAATTTGAACGAAATCATTTCAATAGTGTTTAAAAAATAAAAATTCAGAAATTAGATTTTTTTTTAAAGTTTTATTACTAAGAAATTGTTTGATCAATTCCAATTTTCAAATGGTTCAAATTGAAATCAGTTGAAGTCAATGAATTAGCTTCAAAGCAATAATTCCATGATTCAAATTTCGAATTTTCTCAGTCAATTCATTTAAAAATATATCTAGTGGCAGTTATAAAACAATCTGATGTTGGATAACATAATATTTTTGAAGTATTTTCGTCATTCTGCAACTAAAAAGGAACTAAATTTCATTATTGTTGTTGTTTTAAAAATATTAGACACAGCACAAAATAGAATGCTTAAAATATACCCGGAAGGATTATTCCACATGCATCTATTTTAGAATATAGAAGAAAACGCCCTAAAATCACCTTTTGAAAGAAATTCCTTTGCAATTTCAACCGCACCCTTTATTACTTTCTTTACCTTTTGTCCTTTTAATATTGGGTGCAGCGATTTTTTTCTCTCGATTCAATTGTTATTTGAGTTCAAGTATAATGCACATTTTCCAAAGGCATTTTGATCCAATTTCGTCTTAACTTGTTTAGGCCTATTGCTTTGACTAAAAAATCACTAATCTTTTCTTCAGTTTTATGAATAAAAATACATATGTTACCGTAAATAGCCCAAATACGTTTTTACGCACAGCTGTAAATTCGTATTTTTACGCGTAGCGTTAAAAATTCTGAGAATTCCGTATTTCGTGTTCTTACTACGAAAGTCATGAAAGATACGAAACAAAACTTTATTTTGGTTATTTACTGCAACTTTCAGTTAAAGCCCACATAACGCTCGTATAAATAATTAAATTAAACAAATAATTCTAATGAAAATTCTGTGATTGAGAAAATAAATTAATCAAAGAAATTAGCGTATTGATAAATCAAGAAGTTCAAGTGATTAAGAAATTTAAAAAAAAATAATAAGCGATACTACGTGAATAAGCGAATCAATAAAAAGGCATGTATGCGAATGAGCGTTAACAGATCCATGAAGCAAATGAATGAATGGATAAATCAGCAAATCAAATAATCAATTGATCAGAGACTCAATATACCAGTGAATCAGCTAGTCAACGAATCAATTAATAACAGCATGCGCGAATCGCTGAAACGGCCAATCAACGTGCCAATGATTCTTCACCTAGAGATTAGGTGTATTCATTAATTCCAGTTTCGTTTATGTTTTGATTTATTGCTTGATTAATTTGTTGATTCGATCATTTATTGATTCTATACATTGATTCGATATGTCCTTTATTTCTTGATCTGCTAATTCGTAAATTCTGAGATTTTAGACTCATTGATTAATTCTTTAACTCTGTAAGAACACGCTTCCCCTGAAACTTACAGTAAACAACCGAAATAAATTTTTAATTCGGGATTTTCTTTGTTTTTTTAGATAAGGAATTGAGAAAAATATATTCAAAAACGGCCAAACCACCAATCTTCGGAAGAAAGTCGGAAAAGTTATTGAACTCGCTCTAGAGTTTTACGTCACACGCAACACATGATATTTAGTTTCTTTAAATTTTACAGCGATTATATTATTTTATAATTAAATAACTATTTTAAATATAGTTCAGAATATGTAATGTAAAAAGTATATATATTTTCTATTCATTGTGTAATCATAAATTTACTTTAAAACGAACTTTTAAAGGCTATCATAATTGCTTCCCGTTGAGGAAATATAAAAAGGAAAAAATATCATTCCGGATAATAATAAATAAAACATTCTAAATATTTCTTTTCAAGATGTTGAAGGGGGAAAAAGAGAAGAAGAAAAGGGAAAAAAAACTAGCGAATGAAAATAAATGTATATTTATTCGTTGATTAAAAACAATCAAATGTCATTGAAGGAAAGTTTTATATTATCGACGATAAGGCTGTTTAATTTTCCATAGTTTATTTTGCTTATTTCCATAGTTAATTTCATAATTTAGCTTAAATTAAAATTTCATCCCAGTCAAGTGGAATGAAGCAAAAATAAATATATTTTTTAAACATTTATTTTTTATTTATTTTGAGATTAATAAATTCTCTAAGAAAAACAAACTATTATTAATGAAAATCCTAATGATTATTATCTCTTAGTTCAGCTTGATTTATTGTTAGTTTTCTTATTTATTGTTTAAACTTGTTTCATTTACATGATTACTAGCCTATTAGGGAAATTAAGCACTTTCACTTAGCATCTCCCACATTCACTAACGTGTGATCTTAGCTGTGCAGTTACTGTAGAAATCACTCTGCAAAGCTCGCGCCGAACATACATGTGTGCACCAGTGTACGGGATGCTACAATCACGTACGTATATTCTGTGTATCTCAGTTAATATAGAACAATCACGGTATTCTACGGAGCATGCGTAAGCGAGCGTGCAGGATGCTACGTGAAAGCGCTGAATCTCGTTATTGTGAAATATGGATTGTAGCGAAATATTCAAAAGAAGGAAAAAAATTCTTATACCAATAAACTGTTTCATTTTTATAGTAACGTGCACCAGTGTAACATTAAATTAAAACCACCCAAAAAGATTCCTACACCCTATGGAGGAAAACTCATTTGGACGATGCCTGGAAAGAACAAACTGATCGCCCACCTCAAGGACAAGGTCAAAATCAGACACAGGAAACGATGGAGTCAGGTACGACATCCTTTTGAGAATGCTTAATTGTATAGAGAACTCATTAAAATAAGAATCACACAGAGTGTTGTCTGCCTCTGTCTAACATGCCGTTATAGCAGACTGTTCTTTTAATGAAAGAAAGCATCTCCATGGAGAAATGCACTCTTTCATTAAAGAAAGAAAATGTATCACTGAATGTTGAATCTAAGATATGGTTAACTGGTTTATGGTAGAAGCTTTAAACTACAAAGCACATTAAGCTTTTATCTGTGGCTGTTATTCTGAAATAAACAGTAAAGATATATTTTCGATTGCAAACCGGGGGAAATACAAATGACAGTTAATAAAGCTAAACAACGTAAAAACACAAATTGGAAAAAAAATATGGACAAACTGTAGCTTCTCTTCTATAAGCAAGAACCTTCCTATAAAAGAAATTTCTAAACTCGCGAAAAAGGTTTAAAAAAATGTATCAATATTTGTACTTTATCCATAATGTTTAGTTTTAACTAGACCATGCACAATCCTGTCTAAAACAAGCTGTATCTTCATATGGATATATTAATTTAAATGACGGTTAGCTTAGAGTATATCTAGCCATTTTTTTGCTGCGGGGATTCACTTCAATTTTGAACGGTATTAAAACAAATTTAAAATATCTATTCAAAGTTAGCTAAAATTTTTAATGGCACACTCATAATATATATCCAGACCCCTGCTACATAAAAATGAAAATTAATATTGTTTATTTTAAGATTATTAACATTTATTTGCAAAAGTGTATGCTACTGGTAAGTTTAAAGTAACATCAGTGATATTTCAAAATTGATATAATACCTCCATTATACAAAGGACCATACATAAAATCATAGAAATCAGTTTTACTCATTACGTTAAAGAATAGAACATTTCAACCATGAGGATCAATGTTGATCAAAAACTAAATTGTGGCAAGAACAAACCAATCTAGTGATCTAGCACTTAGCTACTTCTAGTGACTGGCGAATACAAACGTTAAAACAATTATGAGGGATTTCACTCTTAAACTTATCTATGACAAACATTTCCCGACAACGTATAAAGCATAATAAAAGAAAAAATTCGAAACCAATATTAATGTGCTAGATTCAAAATAACTACATTGGTTATTCTCTACTTTGATTTATAACATTATATTCGAAAAAGTTACAAAACCAGAGTACTTCTTAAAATGGCTATACTTCAGGCATAACTTAACTTTTTGTTTCAGGTTATGTATATGTATTACTTGTTGGGCCATCGACTTATGGAACTGCCCATGGACGTCAACAGGAAAGCTACCATGGCAGAGAACACATTCGTCCTTGCCCTGGACGGTGACATTAACTTCAGACCCCACGCAGTTCAGCTCCTGGTCGATCTTATGAAGAAGAACAGGAACTTGGGCGCAGCTTGTGGTAGAATACATCCCGTAGGAACAGGTAATTGGATGTTTTATTCGAATTGGATTGAAAACAAAAGTGCAACGCCCTGTTCTTAAGTGTTAAAGTCAGCGGCTGGTTTTAGTTGTTTATTCCGTATTTGTTAAACAAATTATAGGAATGTTGTGACCGGTACATTCACCTTTCCTTATTGCAGAATACACAATGCGCGAAATGAAAGCGAAACGTTTTAATAATTTTGAATCTAGTGATCGGATTCTCGCGTGCTTCAATGCAATCTTAATATTTTGGGGCATGGTAGTCAAATATTTTAAATTACAATTATATAATTTTAAGTAGAACGTGCAGACGGTATTTAAATTTACGATTATGATATTTTAAGTAAAATGTGCAGACTATATTTCAAGTTGCGATGATAATATTTTAAGCAAAATTGCAGACGATATTTTACAAAATGGACACAAAACCGCACTTTCTAGGAATAAATCATGCTTTTTTTTTTCTTTCCTTTTTTTTTCTTTTTTTACGGATTTGGATTTTTGATCCTCTAAACATTAGTGTTAACCACAATCAAAAAAATATAGTCCAAATAGTTAAGTGAATAGAGACATAGTTTTGGAAGCACATATTTTGCCATTTCTCTGGAATAATTTAAGCGAATAAAAAACTCTTTGCATACAATTATAAAACTCGTTTACTCTAGGATAATTTATGTAAAATTTTATTTTTTGATTTCTATTATTTAATAAGGATTGAAGTATTTCTAAACTGCTTGATATACAACGTTTTATATTATTTTAAACTACACAATTTTAAATGACAAAATTTAAGCAGGGTTGAGAAGTTCTTGAGAAATAAAAATTTGAAAATAAATCTTTGAAAATTTATAACTCTGAGAATATTTAAATGATTTTGTCAAAATTTTGTATTTTTACATAGTTTGAAATGAGTTAAAAATTCGCATATCCTTACAATTCAAAAATGATCGACTATTTTTCAAAATAAGTAATTAAAAAGTGGCCGATAGTTAAAAAAAAAATTTGCGCATCTGTATGGACGAATTTTACAACATTATGGGGGTATATTAGATTCTCTAAATATTTAATAAGTGATAGCGACTTATTCATAAAATTGACACTAACATAAAAAGGTCCAAACTTTCCCTCCTGCCTTAACTATAAGTTACCATATTTTTTAGATTGTAGCCCCCCCCCCACTATTTTGTGAATCAAAAATTAAAATCCGCCGAAAAGAAAGAACATGTGAATTCAGAGTAGAACGTTTTTTATGCCTGAATTTCGTAACTTAAAATATCGTCTGCTCTAAATAATTAGCATACTTAAGGTAAGGTTTTCTAACCATTGATATTGAGTGTTAGTACATTATAATCCAATTATTCGATCAAACGTTATTCAGGATGTTAACTTTTTTGCTCACTGAACTTGTTTAAGATTTTAAGCTGAAGATTTTTATTGTTGTAGCTTAAATTTATAAGAAATTTATATACTAAAGAAGAATCTTTTTACTGTCTACTTTAAATTAGTATTTATCAAATTGTTTAGACAAGAAATAATTTTACGCTATAATTGATTTGAATGTTCTATCATTAAAGCCAATGCTTACTTCGGTCTATCCAATAAGTTTTTCCCTCCCTATATTTTAAGGGTCAAAAATCAAAGTCTATTGGGTATACTATATCCTACGTCACAGGTTGTGTTATTCCTACTAAATTTAACCCATGAACGGCATTTTCTGCGAGCCTAACTTCAAGCCACAAATAAACAAACGAAGTGTTTGATCGTTTAAATAGCTGCTCACCAGATTTTATTGCATTATAAGGAAAAGTAATTGATATTCGATTTTTGATTAATAATTGATTTATGTGGATAGTGGCATTTATGTGGATAGTGGCATAGAATTTAGCATTGCGTCATGGTAAATGTTATTCCTACTAAGTGGAAGTAGTTGTGTTTTTTTTATAATATACCCAATTAAAAAGAAGAATTTATTCAGAAAAAAAGATCGTCATTGTATCTGATTTCTTAACTTAAAATATCGTCTGATAAAATTAATTAGCTTGTTTAAGGTTAAATCCTTGAACCATTTAAAACGTACTAAAGGAAACTCCTCCTTTTCTTCCTTTTTTATTTCAGTTTTGTGAAAGTCTTTATAAATAATAATAGTAAGGGAATAATTCAAAAACTTACTGGCAGAAATAATGATTTTATGATTAAAATTTTATGGGCCGGGGAAAATATTTCATATTAAACTATAGTATAAGAAAGAGAAGAGCAAGATAAACCGTCATTAGTTCTTTGACACATATTTCAGTGGCTTTATGCGAAAAAGAAACCTCATAAAAAATGTTAAGTTGTCGACTACGGAGATCACGATTTTCATCCGCAGAAGAAAATAATAACCAAATCACGCTGTAACACAAACAAATCTCAAAAAAGGACCTTTTCTCCAACCAATACAACATTTTAACTCAAACATTTTGATAGCAATTTTTTCTGGAAATCTTAAAATTTAATTTCACACATTATGAATTATAACATTTCAATAAATTGCAGATATTATCAGTTAAACAAATTAGTGTATTCTTATCCCCATAATAGCTGAAGTCAAATACCGAAGGAAATAGGGAAAAATTGCTTTTTTTCGAACAATGTAATTTTTTTTAAGTTAAAGTTAAAATTTATACTTTATACATAAAACCATAAAACTTTAATTTCTCTCAACTATTAATTACATCAACTTTGAATCGTTTTCACTCGATTCAACATTAAAAAGTACTCGTTTAGATAGTTAATATTTAAGTCTATCCTCTTTTTACTCTTTTCTTTATCCCATTAGAATAACTTTTAAATTTGAAATATGAAGTGCTCTAACTTCCTAAATTCAAATCGCGTGCTAACGATAAGATAAAAAATTAATGTTTTTATCACTAAATGTACACATTTTTACCTATGTCACCTCACTTTTCTCTGTACATTTCTATTCCAGTAAAATTGCTGTAAGTTACAAAATAACCTTTAAACTTATTAATAATGAATACTTATTACATTTTTTAGTTATTCACTTTTTAAATTGAAAATTTTCTTCAACCTGTTTAAACAATTTATTTTTTTTCACATTTTAAATGATTTTTTCATCCAAGAATATAAATAAATAAAAAATACCTGTTTGTAAATTTATTGGTTCATTGATAACATTTCAAATTCTACACACACCGTTGTTTACAAGACAATTTTAATGATTAGCTTTTACCGTAAAGTATTAGAAATCATTTTTATCTATTATTTACAGGTCCCATGGTATGGTACCAAAAGTTCGAGTATGCTATTGGCCATTGGCTTCAAAAGGCAACGGAACATATGATTGGTTGTGTACTTTGTAGTCCTGGATGTTTTTCTCTCTTTAGAGCAAAGGCCCTTATGGATGATAACGTTATGAAGAGATATACGACTACATCTGACGAAGCATTGCATTACGTACAATATGATCAAGGTAAGGCTGCATGTTAATTGAAGCATTTGGTTGAATGAAGTTTTATAGAAAAGATCATAATGATAATTAATTTCAAAGTAATAACGTATATCAATAAGGGGTTACAATCTATACATATTTATTTCTCTTGCATGGCCACAAAGTAAGTCCTCGTTTCTTTTTCGCGATGGCAAAAAAGAATTGAAGTATCAGGAGTGTGAGCTGTCATAAGCAAGGAAGCATAAACGTGCATATTTACAAATTTCTGAATGAAAATTCTTATATCGCGTGGTCAACGAAAAACTGAAACAATCTAAACCATAAGTTGAGAAGAATTAAAGGGTTAAAAGCGAATAGTACATATCAGGAAAGTATTCTATGCAATGATTTAGTAATACTTTTGCAGATTTAATATTAATAATTTTATTCATTGATATTGTTATTCATTGAAAAATGATGATTATTAGTCTTTTTGCTTTGTTTTCTTAAAAGCATAGTTATTAGTTTTTTCTATTGCATGTCAATTTAGCTTTCTATTAGTTAAGTCATTTGACAGCTTCACAGAGATAACCCGAAGTACTGAAAGTTATAATAATGTTTTTAATAAAATATTAAATCTTTAATAATAATGGTTTTCTTAAGGAATAATTGTGGTTTAGTTTATGCAAGTTTTTCTATTATATGTCATTTATTTCAATTTAGCTTTCTATTAGTTAAGTCATTTGAAAAAGGGAATGTGAATTAGTTACCTCAATTTAATTTATGGGTTAGCACACTGGTCCTTTTCTTTTAAACGAGATTTTTATGAGTAACTGCAAAAAAATTTAATAAAATCTATGTTGCATTCTAAAAAAATAATAGTATAATGTCTTTAAGCCAAGTCTCATCCACATTAGCTCCGCAATTATGTTTTTCTTTAAAAGCATTTAAAAGATGTTGGGGTTTTTAGTCAACTAAAAAAATTAATACTATTGTGTACATTATCGTATTTTTTAGGTAATCACAACATTTTTCGTAAATTCTTCAAGATTTCAAAGAAAAAAAGTCGTTTGCATTTTCCCGAAAATATTCTATCCACATCCTGCTACTAGGAAATATCCAGGAATCTTTAAGTTACTATTGAAGAAAAGCAACCCAATTCTGTAAACAAATAGTCTTTTCACTGCATTGCAAACTGGAAGGACAACTGATCTAACAAAGATACCTTTTAGATTTTCTCTGTCATAGTGGATAGAACAAATTTTCTCCAATATAAATGTTTATAATATATTTCGATCATTACATTACTTTTATATTAATTAAATTTAAATTTATTTTATTCATGCAGGAGAGGATCGGTGGCTGTGCACATTGCTATTACAGCGAGGCTACAGAGTAGAGTACAGCGCAGCTTCTGATGCATACACCCACTGTCCCGAAGGATTTGGTGAATTCTACACCCAAAGAAGACGATGGGCACCTTCAACCATGGCGAACATCATGGATCTGCTCGGAGACTACAAAGCCACAATAGCCATCAATGACAACATATCTTTTCCTTACATTATCTACCAGGGAATGTTGATGGTTGGTACAGTTCTTGGTCCTGGTACGATTTTTCTCATGTTGGTGGGTGCCATGGTGGCTGCTTTCAAAATATCGAATTGGTACTCTTTCTACTACAATATCGTTCCCATTCTGCTATTCATGGCGATCTGCTTTATTTTCAAGAATGACGTACAGGTAGGTGTATTCTGTCTGTTCTACCGAGAATTTCACTTAACTTGTTCTTAATTTTTACTCCTTTTAAATGCATAATGTATCTTTCTTCATAAGCCCTGTTCACTGAATACAATATTTTGATTCCTTGAATTTACTTTAGAATGCTTCCAAAAACAGTTTTTAAATAATTCAAATACCCAGAAACACATAAGATGGTGCTTTTAAAGGAAGAAAAACTTTGCTTAATGGTTCTCTGTTTCTCTAACAAACATTAAACTTCTTTTTATAGAAATCATAATGTAAATTTAGCAACAGTCATATCTTGAATGTATTTCAGTCAGTTTTATGGAACTTTTATTTTCCAATGCCTTATACTCCGTATGAAACTTTTTTCGTGTAAGATGAATTTAGATATTTTTCGAGCCAATTAACAGTCTTCATCTTCCATAACTTCTATCGGGTTTAATTCCATTTGGTGTAGTTAGAGTTCCTAATATCTAAGTAAAGTTCGATAGAAGAACCATAGGTATATTCTATATGATTGATTGGATTGCCTTTTCTCCTTGTCTAATTTTTACGGTATTAAGTCTAGTGTAATGTCTGGCATATTCAGAGTCGGAAAATCTCTATACTCATTTGGGTAACTAAAAAGTGTATAACGATAACTGGGTGATGATTACCATCATCTACATCTACTATCTAAGTTCGTAATTGTGTATATTAATTTCCCACCCTGTGATAAGTCAAAGGGAAGAGGTTGGGTTAAGGACAATGCTTCAGCAGAAGTTACTAATAGCCAATTTTACTCATACGAAGATCATTAGATAAAACGGAAAACACCTGATCATATTGATAGAATTAAACGAATTATTTTAAAAAATGATAAAGAGCGCTTACTTTTTGGTTAAATAGCTAGTATAAATAAAAATAGTAAGAAAGTTTTGAAATATACTTAATAATTCTTCTGCATTTATTATAGAAATAGTTAGTAAATATAAAAGAAGTTTTTTTTAGAAATTTAAGAATCAATTTCTTTAATTGTATTAACTACTTTTTTTTTTAATTTACTCATTTTGGTACTTCTTACGAATAACTGGTATTAAGATATGAATGAAAATTAAGGTACTTTCACAATATTAAAATCACTATTCATTGCAATTGTATTGCTGGATAATGTAATATTCAGCTGGCATTTTTTTCCAAGCCATTATTTCTTGAAAGAAGCAGGAAAACTTGAAATAAATTTATAAAATTTAAAATAAGAAACTAATGATATTTAACTTAAAAATTAAAATTTTTTTATGCGAAAATTCCAGAAGAAATTCTCATTCATAGAAATTGTATTCTATACTGTAACATTAAACTGGTATCACCCTTCAGATAATTATTTTCTGAAATAAACAAGAAAACGTCAACTATAATAGAATTCAAAACAAATTATGAGATTTTCATCAATGGTAATAGATTCAAAGAGTGAATGTTCGAACTCGTAACTTCCATGCTCTGTGGCTCACCCAAAAGTTGACTTTACTTTCAGTCAAATATCAGAACACATTTGTTTTTATGGACCAATCAGCATTAGCATTAAATTGGAGTAAGATAATGAAGATACTTGATTTAAAGAGGTTTTTTTTTGTTTTTTTAAATATTGAAAGCTTTTTTTAAATATTAAAGTAATGCGGAAAATAATGTTTGTTGGATACTTATTTCAGATTCTTGTGGCACAAATCATGAGCACAGCGTATGCCTTGTTCATGATGGCTGTACTGGTAGGTACTTCTATCCAGTTATCGGAGGACGGCATAGGATCCCCTTCGGCCATTTTCTTGATAGCACTGTCGGGCAGTTTCTTCATAGCGGCAGTACTTCATCCGCAAGTAAGCATTTAAACTTGTGTATAGAGACAAGGTTAAAAGTAAAAAATTCTATTAAGCAAATCTACGTATTTTGAGTTGTTAAATTCAAATACTTTGTTTATTTTTATGCTAATTAAATAGTAAAATTTTAACCTGATGCGTTTCTGTCCTTGCCTAATAAAACTACAGAGAGTAACATACCTATGAAAGTTAAGAACTAATGAGGCAGATAAAAAAAAATGCAGTGCCTTCATCTACTAGATCTCATGTTCAAATCCCCTATCAGTCAGGAAATGTTTAGAATGCGTTTTTAAGTCTTTTCCTCTATTTTTTTTCACCTCTTCGCTAAAGGCTTCATTTTAAATTATTTCTTAATTTTCTAATTAAAATTATTGTTCTGAATTCAAACATTGTTTATTTAATATTTATGAAAACTCCTGCTGCATAATCTGTACAAAGAACGTAGGTCTTTCCACTGCTGATTGGAGAACTGGGAGTAGTGAGTTCGATCCTGACGGTCCACAAAACAACAGGAATATATACGCAGCAAGGAGCACGTTAGATCTGCCGTGACTGACTGAATGTCCTCTTGTTTGTCGTGCAAGTTTAGAGAGAGAGGCTCATGCGCCATCAACGTCGTCTGACTAGGGTCAAAATTACGTGGAATTCCTACCCTGTCCGTAAAAAGATAGAGCCCTGAAAAACGGGGATAGGTACTTGGCCATGTTAGGGTGCTATGCATATTCTGTACATTGCAATTCTTGATTGTGAAAAAACTTGACAAATCATTTTATTAAAGCACTTCCTTCTCGCTCCCTTGAAAATGACGGGGTGAGGTTTGGCTCTCTATTTCTCACTCCCGTGATATCGACGGGCTGGAGTGCTCAGTAGTAACGCACCAATAAGAATAAAACTAATTCATTTCTTTTGCCCGGAAAACATTTTATTTCTCATTTTATGCACCAGATAGCAGTACCAATTTNAGATGCGTTAAAGGAGGAATGGAGACGTTTACCCCAAGAACTCCTGGATAATCTGGTGTTTAGCATGGAGAGACGATGTCAAGCAACAATTACAGTAAGGGGAGGGCATATCCCATACTAGGGAACATCTGCCAGTTGTACTTACGCTTGTTCAGGCAATCATGTGTACCTCCACTATATGTCAAATAAAACCTTTTTTTGTTCCATACCCTACTTTAAGTTTTACATTCATTCCTCCGCCATTATTCTTTTACCATCGTTTAAGTACAAAATAATGTACATCATATTCAAATTTCATGTCAATCGGATGATTTCTTATAGAGTTATGACAAAAAACGCACTTGTTGCTTAAGCTTTGCACACCAGTGTCGATGTTAGCACTAATCAAATGTGTAATACAAATACGAAAGTCAAAAAATAGGCACTTTTATGACCGTTTTCTTGAAAATTAACCGATCGTTAAGGGGTTAAAATATACGTTTGAAACGGATGTCAATTTAAATCATATTTCTAAAATTATCAAGACAATTAAATTGAGTGATTGACTCAAATTATTGAGAATGGCTTTTTGTACCAGAGACTCCCACCTTTCTCTGTGCTATTGAAACACTACTTTTTTGCACACTTCTTTCCTTATATAAAGTTGAATAATCGTCTTTATTTGAGAAAGGATTGATAAATTGGAAATCATTCAAGTGACCGCAAAATAACATATTTGAATTCAGTACCTTAAGATCTGCAAAATTTTGCTTGACATCATTTTGTGTTACAATGATTCCATTTTTGTCGACTTGTGTAATTTCGTTGATTAATTTAATAGATAAAATTTTAAAAAATGCGAAATTGCGAATTTTAAAAAATGCGAAGTTGACTAAAAACTGAAAAATGCGAAAACTGACTTAAGACAAATAGAAGTCAACACTAATACCACCATTAAAAAAAACAGTTTAAAAAATTAACTAAAATTCATTTTACGAAACTATCAACAAAAGTATCTTTTTTTTTTTTAATTTTATTGCTTTTACAGATCCCAATTCTCGAGTGAAGAATTTCAAAAGAATAACATTTACATAACGTTTAATATAACTTAATCAAAATACTTGTAACATGAATCAGGGTAAAATTACTTTCTTTACTTAGAAATGTGTAATATTCTCGTTATGTTGTTGTAATATTCTTTTTTTATCAAATCAATAAGAACATTTTCTGCTAAGCTGTGAAAACAGTATGTTATAGATTGTAATACCTGTATTTTTTACATAATCATTGTATTTTTTTATTTATTTTAGGAATTTTGGTGTGTGGTTCCGGGTCTATTATATTTCTTGAGTATACCTTCTATGTATTTACTATTGATTATCTATTCTTTGGTCAATCTCAACGTAGTCACGTGGGGTACAAGAGAAGTGCAGACAAAGAAAACGAAGAAAGAATTGGAAGAGGAAAGAAAAGAGCAAGAAGAGCTTCTGAAAAAGAAAAAAAATCCCGATCTTTTATCCTTCCTAGGTACTGCATGGTCACGACACTTTACAAATATTAAAATAATCTTCTCCAATTTTATAAAATTGTGATCAGTAAATTCGTGGTAGTAATATGTGTATTTCATTGGTTCCGAATTGTTTCTTAAGTTTCCAAACTTCTGTTTCCAGAAATATTTCTTGAACCCAATTATTAACTTCGAAGTAATTTCTTGCATTACTTCGAAGTTAAAGTTAATTTTAAAATCCTTTTTAAAGTAGAAAATATATGCCCATTAAGAACCGCAAATTATTCTTAAATTGAGGTCAAAATAAAAATTTTATTAAAACTTGATAAAACATTATTGTGGTAGGCGGGATTATAAAAAAACTTTAAAACAAATTGTATTGTTACATAAAACTCGTACATATTTCCAATAATCGACTTTTATTGCTTCTATCTTGCTCCTCCTATAATAAATTATATCCTAATATTTTTAATTTACTCCTCCTTTGCCAGATTTTAACTCTATTTTTCTTTCTTCTTGACTTAATGATTAAATGATAACCTACAATGTGGATATTTCTTGACAGGCATTCTAAAAATATATCTTAAGCGTGGTGCTTAAGGAACACAAAACATAAATTTCTGAACTTTTTTTAAAAAGCGAAAACTAAGAAACATTCTCCAATAGAGTACAAAAGTTTTGTATACACTTAGTCATGTTTCTGTAATTAGTTAAAAAAATATCTTATTGTTTCAGAATAAAAGAATCATACGTTAAAAAAAGTATTTTTTTTCCCAACAGGATTAGGTGGAAGTGATAATGAAGAAGGAAGCATCACTCTCAGTTTGGCTAATCTCTTCACTTGCAAGTTCTTCACCTATCCAAAATCCAATGACGACAAGGTACACCTTCTTCAGATAAGTGAACAGCTGGATCAAGTAAACAAGAAGATTTCAAGTTTGGAAAAGAATCTGGAGCTGTCCAGAGTTGTCCCTTTCAGGGGGCGAAGGTCATCGATCGGTGGACGAGGATCCGTGAAATCTGCTTCAGAGGCCGGTGGGTTGGGAGCAGTGCATGAAAATGACAGTGATAACGATGATTTTAACTCAGATTCTGAAGGAGATGGCAGTGAAACCTTAGGTAATTTTCTTTTCAATACGAAATATTTGAACAGGAAAAAGAGGGTTCGCCTCAAAATGAGGTGCCCCTGGTTCTAATACCAGCGGTGACCGGTTAATACGAATTCTGGTTTCGGTTCACGCCAACCACAGTGCTGACGTAAAATACCATCCGTGGTAGACGGATCATGGGTTAGAATCCCTTGTCGTCGAGCGAACCACGAGTGGTTTTCTTGGTTTTTCTCTCCAAGTGAAGCAAATGTGGGTTAGTTCCATCGAAAAGTCCTCCACGAAGGATAGTTTGTCCCAATATTTGATCCAGGAGTTCCCTTGTCTTCTGGGACAAATTAAATAACATTGATAATCGTAAACTCAGAATTGGGTTGACTGTTCAACGTCGGTTATAAAATTTAATTAAATAAGAGATTTTTTTAAAGCGTTGCTATATATTTAGATATATAGTATTTGACAAATTATTTAATCCTAACTAGAATTTTATTAAGGAATTTTAGTCTTATACAAAAAATATAGATATTTTTTTATTTTTTAAAGATTCCAGCTTTTAAGTTTTGTGCAATTCATTAAAAAAATAATTGATAGAAATATTAACTCTTAACTATTTTTAATATTTACACTCTTACTTTAACTCAGCTCATAAGTAAAGAAACATTTATGATGAACAGTAATATAAATTAAACGCTTAACCATGGATAGCAATGTATGTAATTTACAACAACACAAGGTATATTTATGACATTAGAAAGTATAAATATTATAAATACATAAGACTTGGGGTAAAGATCATAAATATCATGACGAATTGCAAACATTCGTTCAAAAAAATTAGAAAAAAGGTTATATCTGTGTTCGTTTTACCATGGAGCAACGTAATTCATTCTTTTAACATAACAGTAAAATAAGCATAACAGTAAAATACATATAATTTTTAATGCATAAATTAATCTTAAAAACATCTTTTTTATCACTTAACATAGAACCAAAACAAGAAAGAGATGATCTAATCAACCCTTACTGGATTGAAGATAAAGATCTTAGGCGTGGAGAAGTGGAGTACCTCTCACCAGCGGAGATGACTTTCTGGAAAGATCTCATCGAAAAATACCTCTACCCCCTTGACAACAACAAAGAGCAGCAAGCTAGAGTAGCAGCTGAATTAAAAGAACTCAGGAACAAAGTGGTCTTCGGTTTCTTCATGTTCAATGCTCTGTTTATTTTGATTGTGTTTCTCATGCAACTGAACAAAGATCTTCTCCACTGGGATTGGCCACTTGGAGTGAAGACAAACATAACGTATATTCCAGAAACTAGCGAAGTTCGAATCGATAAAGAATATCTACAATTGGAACCTATTGGTCTCGTGTTTGCCGTCTTCTTTGCTTTGATCTTAATAATTCAGTTTACTGCTATGTTGTTTCATCGATTCGGTACTCTGTCCCATATAATGGCCTCTATTGAGCTTGGATGTTTTAACCAAAAGGTTAGTATGCAATAATTAGTTTACTTTTGAACTTTTGTAACATTTTTTTTATCAAGTACTGATTTAAAAAAGAAGACGAATACACTGTAAAAATGACCTATCTCAACTTTTAAACTAGTGCACGATTTCTATCAATTTTGATTTCGTTTTCCCGCTTACTTCAAATTAAAAATATAATCTCATTTTTTCAATCAATAATTTGAAATTATAATCAGTTGGAAGCTTTAAAGGCGAATCCGTGAAGAAAAACCGAGATGTGAGTATCAGCAGGATATGCAAATCCGTATAAGAGTTTCACTTTTCTGGTCTACTCTATATGTCGTTGATTCAAGATCATTTAGCCATTATTTCATATTAAATGCATAATGCCATATTTTTTAATCCACTGTATGAGATTAGTGAATCAATAGGTAGTTTGTGAGGGAGAACGAAGTCTTAACCAATTGGCTATGTGCGAAACTTGATGAACTTCGAGATGGCGTGATGATGCACGTTTAGAGTTGATGCTCGAACTAGTATCGTGAATAAGACGAATCTTAACTTCTTAGTTTGTATTTTTCGATTTAGATAGTTCAGCTCCTATAATTTTCATATAGACTATAGTTATTAGCGCTACTTATTTAGCATTAGCCCATGTAAAGTAGTTACTATTGTTGTTAGAGCAGCTCAGAAAACAGAGCCCTCACTTCTTACACAAGTGATCTCGGTGCAAAATCTGTAAAAAGATGGCTGATTTGTATAGAGTTCTGTGCCTGTTCTAACCACAATTTTAGAATCTGGTTATGGTGGCTCAGTTAATAGAGCACTCACCCCCTAATAAGGTGAACCGGGTTCAAGTCCTGGTGATAAGTGGTTGATTCAAATTCCACACCCGGCTCACACCGACCACAGTGCTGACGTAAAATATCCTCGGTGAAAGACAAATCATTGGTTAGAGTCCCCTTGTCGTCAGGCTAACCATAGGAGGTTTTTTTGATTTCTCCTTCCCTTTTTACGCAAATGTGGTTAGTTCCATCAAAAAAATTCTCCACGAAGGCAAACTTCTCCCACTACTTAATCCAGGAATTTTCTTGTTTTCTGGATTGGGTTCAAATTACAAGGATATGGAGGTGATTGTAACTCTGAAATTGGTAATCGTAAACTGAGAATTCGGTCGGCTGCTCAACGGAGGTTATAAAATAAAAATTTAAAATCTTGAAGTTTCTACGAGTATAGACAAATCAAGAGAAAGTCTAATTTTGTTCGAGATAATCGTGTTTTTTCTCATGAACCACAAACGCTTTTACTCGAAAAATTTTCCACGGAAACTATTTTAATCTTTTATTTTTGGTACATTTATGCTTAAATATGCGACTATTTATTAATTATATTCATATTTTAAATATCCTACTTGAAATTAAAACTGTTCTCTTATTTTTTCATTCCTTGTACAGGTAGAGGATGTGAATGACGATGCTTTTATAGATAGAAATGCCGTCCAAATCGCCAAACAGCTCCAGAGGTTGAAGGGATTAGATGACGAAGAAAAAAGTGACGATTCTACTTACGGCGATAGGTTAGCTAGAAGGAAAACAATTCAGAACTTAGAGAAACGTAAAAATAATCAAAGAAATCGAGTGGGTACTTTGGATGTTGCCTTCAGAAAACGTTTCATGAACATTAATGTTCAAGACTCTGAGCTTAAAGTAGCAGGTAACTACTCATTGTTTTTAGAAGGTTCATTTTACAAATTTTATTCTACTCTTAAAATTTTGTACAACCTTATCAGCAAGTTATGAAAATTTTGTATTAAATGGTTAATTGTTTTTGAAACTTGAACTACTAGGTCTCCTACCTTTATAATTTTGAACTACAAGGCTTACCAAATCCAAAAATTTTACTCTAAGAGTTCCACTGTTTTTAAAATTTTATAGTACCTAGTGCACTATTTTTTACATTTTTTTTAAAATTTCTTATTAATTTGATTAAGAAGAAAAAATTATGCATTTTATTACTTGATATATTACATTAGTGATAACCCCGGTAGCAGAAGCCTTGTAGAACAGCAGAGGACACTGTAGATTATCACAACATAATTTGATTGAGAAGAAAAAATAATGCATTATATTACTTGATGTATTACATTAGTGATAACCCCGGTAGCAGAAGCCCTATAGAACAGCAGAGGACACTGTAGATTATCACAACATCTGCACATTATTTTCCTTCTCAGTTTAAAACAAAAATAGAGAAGAAAAAAAAGCTTGAAGAAAAAGACGATGATTAAACGAAATTGATGATTAAACGAAAAGGAAAAGATTTTTCAACCTTCAATTATGAAAGAAATGGAATAATTATACTTTTATTTATAAAAATTAGTTACCGAAAAAAAACACTCACTTACCGTTAATTCTTTGCCTACTTTTTTTTTTTTTTTTNTTTTTTTTTTTTTTGGCAAAATGACTGTGATCATAATGTTGGGAATTTCATTTGACGAAAGTTTTGATGAAGCAGAAAAAATTTTAACTTTCGTTTCTGATTTCTTTATGGCACTTAGTAGAAGCATCTGTTTTTCCCCTTTTAGGCAAAGCTAAAGTTTGAGTATATAAAATTCAAATAAAATTTAAACAACACAAAAATTTTTGTGTATAACTTCATTATATTTAATATTTGCAAATTGTGTTAAAGCAAAGTTAGACAAAGCTTAACTTTTACAATAACAATCTCTGCCTAACTGAGTTGAAATCGCAGACAAATTCGAATTTTTGGAAATAGAGCTGTATACTGACTTCGTAAATTCTGCTACTGGGGTGTTAAGTTTTAAATCGTTACTAAAAATTTAATGTGTAAAAAAATTCAAAGTTTGCATCTTTTCTTACTTGTCTTTGTATTCTGTTAAAATTATCTTTCGATAAATGAAACATGTAAAAGTTGCTTAATTTCATGAAATAAACATCTTTTTTTTAGCTACTCCTGTACTAAATGGATTGAATCGTTTGGGAAGAAACCGAGAGACGCTAAGAGNATTTGATTAAGAAGAAATAATTATGCATTATATTACTTGATATATTACATTAGTGATAACCCCGGTAGCAGAAGCCCTGTAGAACAGCAGAGGACACTGTAGATTAAAACAACATAATTTGATTAAGAAGAAATAATTATGCATTATATTACTTGATATATTACATTAGTGATAACCCCGGTAGCAGAAGCCCTGTAGAACAGCAGAGGACACTGTAGATTAAAACATCATAATTTGATTAAGAAGAAATAATTATGCATTATATTACTTGATATATTACATTAGTGATAACCCCGGTAGCAGAAGCCCTGTAGAACAGCAGAAGACGCTGCAGATTATCACAACATATGCACATTATTTTCCTTCTCAATTTAAAACAAAAATAAAGAAAAAGAAGGTTGCAGAATAAGCCGAGAAGAAGTAAAAATTGATGATTAAACGAAAAGGAAAAGATTTTTCTACCTTCATTAATAAAAGAAATAGAATAGTTATACTTTTATTTATAAAAATTTGTTACCAAAAAAAACACTTAATTAACGCGATTGTTTTTCTGTTTTTTTTTTTTTTTTGACAAAGTGACTGTGATGATAAGGTAGGGAATTTCATTTGACGAAATTTTTGACGAAGCAGAAACAATTTTAACTTTTGTTTCTGATTTCTGTATTGCACTTGGTAGAAGCATCTGCTTTTTCCCCTTTTGGGCAAAGCCAAAGTTTGATTATATAAAATTCAAATGAAATTTAAACAACACAAAAAGTTTTGTGTGTGTATAACTTCATTATATTTAACATTTGCAAATTGTTCTAAAGCAAAGTTAGACTAACTTTAACTTTTACAATAACAATCTCTGCCTAACTGAGTTGAAATCGCAGACAAATTTGAATTTTTGGAAATAGAGCTGTATATTGACTTTGCAAATTCTGCTACTGGAGTGCTAAGTTTTAAATTTTTACTAAGAAATTTAATGTGTAAAAAAATTTAAAGTTTGGATCTCTTCTTACTTGTCTTTGTATTCTGTACATGTTTCATTTATCTTTCGACAAATGAAACATGTAAAAGTTGCTTAATTTTATGAAATAAGCATCTTTTTTTTAGCTACTCCTGTACTAAATGGATTGAATCGTTTGGGAAGAAACCGAGAGACGCTAAGAGCCCTGGAAGTGAGACGGAATCACATTCTTGGGAATGGAAAAATGGAGACTTTAGGTGCTAAAAATGAATATGTTCTCCGAAATGGCAGCAGATCCCGGACAATAGAATCAAGAAAGTTGAATGATTTGTTCCATAGTGGTAAGCATGTTAAATTATAATAAGGTGTAATAGAGGGTAATTGTCTGCAATTTAATTTATATTTTTGACGTAAACACTTAGATAAAAATAAATTACCCTCTTAATAAATGTATCGCTTAAAAATAATTATTACACAACAAATAAATGTAAACAACTTGAAAATAAATATTTCCAAAAGAATCAAATTTTTAAAAAAAATATGACTGATGCAAGGGGAAATAGTATTTCATTACTACTTTTTTCCACTGTAAAATTGATGTTCTCCGCTACAAAATGTGCTACTTTCCATCTTTTACATTAAAACTTAAGCCAATGACAGTTTTCACTATTACCTTACTAATTGAAACAGTATGAGAACATGCATAGTTCATTTATATCAAATTTATAGTGCATACGATTCATATCAAATTTATAGTGCATACGATTTATATCAAATTTATAGTGCATTTGATATAAATGAACACAATGCGGCATTATTTTACTCAAGAAAGATTGATCTATATAACATCGGTGTTTAAAAAAATCTTTGTTTCGAAACGAAAACTTGGGAAATTAAATTTCTAGTTCGTCACTTATAATGTTATGATTTCATCACATTTTCATTTAATAAGTCAGATCTTTTTCTTCTTTTTTCTCCAATGCCCACCTGGAGAATGACATTTCGTCATATAGGCATTTGAAGGGCAGATTTGTTGGCCACTCTTTCAAGGGCGCCATATTAGGTGGACCAACTTTGCCACTATAAGAACAGATAGTACAGAGGAGGAAGGAACATCCATGCCTTTCCCGGGATTCGAACCCAGAAACTTTCTCATGCAAGGCCAGTTCCCTGACCTCTAAGCAGGCCGGTCGGCATTAGTCAGATCTAAACTGCCATTTTAATATAAGGTTGCAAATTTAACTCCAAAGTATATGGTATTATGGAAAACGATATTGTATCGTGTCTATTAAGTAATGCCAAATACTTTGATGTAATGCATCACCTAAACATATAAGGCATTATACAAAATAATCTCCTATATGAAATATTTTATTGAATACATCATTGATGTTTAGAAAATCTTGGTTTCGTGATTTCAAATTTGGGAAGCTAAATTTTTAATTCCTTGCTTGTAATGTTGAAATTTAATCACTTTTTCGCAAACAGGGAAATTCTAATTCCCATTTTAATACAAAATTACTCCTTAAAATTCTAAATTGATGTCGGTAGGATTTTTATAAAAAAAATTTAATAATTTCAAAAAAATGATGTGCATATCAAACACAGTTGTGTGTTTTTTGACCGTCAATGTTCAATTTATGTAATTTATACTTATTAAATACACAAGTGGGCGACCTTTGTGCTAAAATACAAATTAAGGCAAGCAATCTTAAAGAGCGCAAAAATATTTATAAAATACAGACAGCTGTTTCGGATGCTCAAAGGGCAACCTTCATCAGTGCAACACTGTTGCACTGATGAATAGTTTATGATAGTTTAGATAATAGTTTATGCTTACTAATCAATAGTTCCACAACACAATAATGACTGTTTATTTTATTTTAACATATTAGAAAAAAAATATTACTTTTATAAATCAAAACATTTCAAATGTGATAATAATTTAAATGTCCTGGGCTATGTCAAAAAGCGCGAAAATAATTTCCACTGATAAAAGTGTGTAAAATAAATATCACTAAGATCTTATGCTAACCATCAAAACATTATTATAAATCAAAATCCAATATTGATCCTAAAATATGCCAGTAATGTAATTGGGCTACGATATATTATCCGATCTCGTTTGATTTGAATTTAAGCAATGTTCTTTTAGAACTTTAACAAAAAGAAATTTGTGATTTGTTCCAATGGGATTCTGCTAAAGTGATGACTTAATATTTGTTATAAAAGTATATTTCTTATTTTTTTTTTTATTTTTCAGGTCATCAAAATGGAAACGGAGCCATAAACTTAGCAATGAGTGACGAGTCAGACATAGAGGCTGGCCGAACTAATCTTCGTTTGGAACAATTTGGATCCAGAAACAGCTTGAATAAATACAGAGAAGAATCTGAAATACCAAGACGACGCCAGATTTGATTTGATTTTCAATTTCCTACCCCGGTGCTGAATTTTGTCTATTCATCAAATGGACAAATAATAATCTCAAAGTTTGGTGATTTTCTACGGAAAATTTTATGAAATTCACTGAAAGTTCATAAACTTTATGTTCTTCATAAAACATTAAAGTCAAACTGCGGTTATGTGGAAACAAACAGCCGGAACTTTACGCACTGCCATTTCAAATAAATTTAAGAAGTAATACTGCTTGACTCTACCACTGCCTGCTTAAAATCTCTTTTATTTTAGATTGTAGATTTGCAGAAAAAATTCACAGAGCCACTCTAAAATTACAGACTTACCTACTACTAGCATAGATGTGGAATGGATTCTGGAGAAAGATCTGGAAGAGCTTAAAAAATTATAATCAACATGATTCTTATTTTTATACATCGCTCATACCATGTTGTTTACTAATGTTTCACTGAATATTAAGATAATTATCTTAAAAATACTTTTACTCTATGAAAACATGCTAAAAGAAATGTACCAGTAAAAGAAATGTACGTGTATAAATCACGTTAGTTAGAAGTTTACCTTAAAATGGGAAAAAGTCTCTTCACTTTCAGAAAAACATGTCTGATTTGTCTTAAATGCAAATTGTCTTTGGTATGGAGCTGCAACATAAAAATTTATGTAACTGAATATTTTTTTAATTAAAAAATTTCTTAAATTATTAATTTATGAAAAAGGGAAATATGTTTTGAACTTACTTAGCTCTTTCATTATGTTATGTATAATTTAGTAAATTCTCTTCAAAATGGAAGAAATCCAAATTGTTCTGGAAGAAAACTTAGTCACCCAACAAATTTTAGTTTCCTCCAGTACCTCTTGTTGCTCTCTACCAAGTTTCAAGTCAACTGCCTAAACTTTACAGATCTAAATCTACAAGCTAAATAAGCTTAAGGCGTACTTCAGTTTCATCACAAATATGAAAGTGAAATTAATAAATTTACGATTTTATTTTTAAAGATTTCTAAAATAATGCATGTTTACCGTATAAAAGTACTAAATCAATTCAAAGATTTTAATCATTATAAAGATTTTAATCATTATATTATATTTTAATCATAATCATTATCAATACACAAATTTTAATCATATTAAAAAAAAACATTTTTTTATCATGCAGTGTATTAGTTGGAACAAATAAATATTTTTATTCTGGAATTTAAGCAAATAATTTTGTTATTTGACCGTTTAAATCAAAATAAGCATGTTTTCCTGAGATTGAAATATTCTTAACATACTTTGCCATGGAAATTATTTTTTTAACTCACCATAACTTGAATGATCCGCATATTTTCAACATAATTTTGATGCGGAGAATTTATTTCAACAAACCTAAGATAATTAGTCTATTATAGTTACGCAAATTAAACAAACCTATTATTTATGCATTAATCTCATAAGATGGGACCGCACTTTGTTGAGAGGACAAACAATATTTCTAAACATTAGCTAACAAATATTGCTTTAAAGTTAGAGTATTTACTCACTAAAATAATAGTTAACAGTTCAATTTAATGAAGACAGTAACTTCAAATTTAGTATGTATCATTGCTTTTTAAGGAATCCTTTAGAAGTTTAATAGAAGTCAGTTGAAAACATTTCAAACAAACTAGTTTGAAATATTAGTTATTTTCAGCTGTTTGTCTTAAAAATTTTGTAACTAAAAACATTTAATTATTTTTACCACTAATTTTTATGGATATATTTTTATTATTGGCTTAACGAAAAAGACTTAAAATATTTCTTTTTATTGAATTTCAAAAATCATTGAAGAATTTTATTTTGGTTATAATTTTGTTCTTGGTTTCAGATGCATTATATTATACAATATTGTGTTATATATTTGCATACAGTAGGAAGCAGCAAAACTTGACAGTTATTTAAATTATAAAAAACAATTAGTTCAAACATTTCTTTAGAATATAGCTGAAAGAGTATAAAATATAATTAAAAAATAGATTAAAAAAATGTGTTTTTATACTGAAAACAGATTCATTCGGATTTGAAATCTATTATGCATAGTAAATACTATATAAATAACCTCACAGTCTGTTTTAGTTTAATATTTTTAAGATACTTTTTTTTCTTTTCATTTTACAAAACTAATAAACTCATAAATGCTAGAAGAATAAGAAGATAATTCTCTCTCAAAACTAAGTAGTAAACTGATTACTAAAATAGCTAATATATAATGTCACATAACTAAAATAAGAATATTACTATTTTTACAAGTTATAATTAGAAACATCAATTAATTCATCTGTGCCAAACTTTTTTAATAGACTATATATTATTTATAAGAAATTATTTATCGTTTATGATGATGTAAATAGTTGTTGAAACAGGTATGACAAATGTTCTGAATGACTACTTTCTTCCTTTCACTATTATTTGATTTTAAAATGCAATTTTTGTAATTGAAGCATAGAGAATATTCATGCATAACCATAATTTTAAGTCTCTTGTACTTGCTGATGGGGATTCTTATTTGAAATTGTTTCAATTTTTAAATGATTTTATATGCTGGTAATACAGTTATGGCAAGCTGATTTATTCATGCTAAGCACTATGACCTTTCTAAGACTTCAGACTGGCAAAAAGGCAAAGAGAGTTTATACATTATTCCTGTATGCCACCTTGTATGGCCCTGTGATTTACTTCTAGGAAAACTCTTGTCCTTATTACATCGAAACTCGCTGTACAACTCAAAGTAGTACGATTTGAACTTACCTTTAGTATTGTTAAAACACTAAAGATATCCAACGAAACTTGATATAAAGAATTTCAATCATTATATGAAACCATTTTGAGTCGTAATAAATGATTGCAATTTACTCATTAAAAGAGAAACTATAATAAATGTCAATATTTGATATTTTGGGAAATTATTATTCTAATTTTTTATGTTACATTTCAAGCTATTTTGATGATTATTTTTTAAAAATGAACCAAATACTTATGTATTTTATTGCTATTATAATGTATTGAGTATTGCTGTTATGCAAATATTTTTTTGTAATTTTATTTTATACAAACCGTATCATTCAATTACTATAATATGATATACGTTTTATAAACGTAATAATAAATAATATGTGATCATAATGACTGGCAAAATGTCTGAAAGTGTATGCCAGCAAAATATTTGAGTTAGAATCTGAATGCATAAAATAAAATCTTCATAATTTCAGCTTTTCTTTTGCTTAGCATACAGCAAATCATTAAAATAAATTTGTATTCAATCTAAACTATGTAATATGGTTTTTTGTATAGATATGTGATCTCTGTTTAATTTAATAAATGAATTATTATTAAACTTGCGTTTTTGATTCCCTTAGTGAAAAAATAGAACTCTGAAGGTTAGACCATATGTTTATTTACAGGCAAAAATTTTGCACATTGTGAATTGGATTGAGTTTAATGTCACAAGAACCAAATTCAGTTATATTACGCCAAACATAAAGAATATTATTACTCGAAGTAAAGGAATTAGAAGTATTATAACGAAATGGAACGGATTTATAAACTGAATCTGAAGCAAAATTAAAACTTTAAGGAGAAAACAAACAAAACAAAAAAAAGGTCCTTTAGTATCTTTAGGAGTGTATCTTGAACCTTAATTTGAAGGTTTAAAAATTAAATCCTCAAAAATTTTGTTCACGCAAAATGCTTCCCAACTTTTGTACTTAAATGTAACTCTGATCCTTTCATGAAATCCTAGCTAATAAAGGTACTACTAAACTGAAAAACAATCACACAAACGGACATACTTTAGTTTCAACAAACTAGACAAGAACCTTCCTCTGTGTCTAAACACCATTTATTTAGGGAGAAGTGATCAACTCTCTCCATATCGCTTTGAAAAATTTAAGACATACTGCTAATTTTTCACTATTTTAGGATCTATGTTAAGTATTTTCCAAGGCATTTAATTTACTTTACTCCTCGGAGTGANGAAAGTTGCTGGCCTTTATAGCCCTAATATGCGTACCACGTGATCAGATGCGTGCGCAAATTTAATCATTTGCATATCCATCTCACTTCTATCGCTCCTGAAATTTGCATGACGCTACGTGCATTATTTCTTGGTGTTGCAATTTCACTTTTGAGGAGTGTATTTATTATGAATTTTAGTGTTTCAACGGGTAAAAAAAGCACAAGAAAATTATTTTTTTATGGAAAATATGATTTTCAAACAAATTTAATAATGAAGTTATATAGCTTAACATTTAAAACAAAAGTGAAGGACTTTTTTTGTTGGTAATAAGTTTTTAATAATAAAATAATTCAGCTTATCTTTGTATGTAAATTTGTTTAGATTTTAACAAATATACAGGGTTATCCATAACGCACGTCTTTGATAGGTATGTTTTGCATCGTCATAAATGAATTTAAAAAGAGATTATACGTCAGGCACAGCTATTTTAAATTCAAATAAGAAAGAAAAAAAAAAGAGATAAACTCTATTGAAAACTAACAAATCGCTACTGAAGAAAGGGGAGCTGAAAAGATCAAAGCCTATTTCATTGGCCTGTAGTAGCAAAATTTGAAAGATAATTAATAAGGTTACCCTGCCTTATTTTCTAAGCTGGATCCGGTAAAAGATTTTCCTTCCTCGGTACCTGATACTGAGTACCCGGACCCAGTCAATTTTATTGGGTATTCAGCTTCGGGTAACATACTATGTTTGACTCAACCACATTCACATTTACAATAACTTTAAAACTATTAATAAAAATAATTAAAATTCATATATTCAATTTCTTAATAATCACTAGTGTAATAAAGACTAGTTGTACCCAGTTCTTGCACATATAATCTTCATATATAATCAAAAAGGCAAAATTGTTTTTGAAAATCTGACTTTCCTGGCTCTTTCACAAAGTCAATCAATTGCAAGTGTTTAAAGTGCTACGCATAAGTAGTACGCATTTTAGTTAAAGATACAAATAAAAATGCAAATAAATTCAAATTTTTATTGAGAATAAAACAATAGTATCTCTAAAATAGCAAATTTAAAATCTTGCAAAACAGTAAAACACTTAAATTCTGAACAGTGATAAATAAAATTACTTCGCCTTAAAACATTCATAAATTTACTGCTCATACAATCGGTGCCTTAATTTTTGCAAGTAATTGGATCTTTCAGTAAAAACTTCTTGCTCGCTTTGAATTTTAGGTTCAAACTTCTGTTCTGGATTCTTTTTAGAATTGTTTTTTTGTCTCGAAGAAGGAAGAATATTTCTAACATCCAGAGATCTCAGTCTCTCCAGTGCCTGCTCTAAAAAGAATCTTCTGTCATGTTTTTCCACTTCACTGTTCCCTTTGTTATCAGGTTCTATTCCCATCGTAAATCTCCTTATCAAATCTAATGGCCCTGGTAGAGCTATTTTGGCTTCACTGACTGGGCGATTCAGTTCAAATGGTAAGTCAGATTCCTGATTATCTGCGTCAAGATTAATGGCAATACTGTCACTGGCATCGTTTTGATCTGAAAGCTCTGGTATATGTGGTAAAAACCTAGGTAAAGGTGACTCTTCTGGATTATCAACGTCACTCCTTTCGTCAGGGTCAAATATGTTTTTGAAGGTTAAGTCAGTATTTTTTGGTGGTATTTGGATAAAGTTCTTTGGAATTGCAGGTCCTGAAACTTCACCCCTTGGTTCACTACTTGCATTTAAGTTAAAATCTAAATCTGATTTAAAAGACTCTTTTAAAGGATCCTTTGAACTAATTGATACATCTGGACTATTTACATCAAGTTTAATGTTAACATTGTCATCGGAGTCTGTCAGTTCTGTAAGCTTCGGTATATGTGGTAAAAAACTTTGATTAGATAGCTGTTCTTCTGAACTGACGTCACTTTCTCCAGTCAAGCTGAAAAAATTTCTGAAAGTTTCACCAGAATCTTGAAATGGCCTTCGAAAAAAATACTTTGGAATTTCAGGATCCGATTTCACTCCATATAGAGTAAGGCTTTCTTCCGAATCCACCTCTGAATCTGGATGTAATGACTCCGAAGATTCATTTGTATCAAAAGACTCATCTAAGAGCCGTGAGTGGTTATCGCTTTCTTTTTCATTTTCGTGGACATGCTCAGAAATATCTTCTATATCAGTTACCTTTGAATTTGGTTCATTTTCTTCAAAGCTCGAAGATTCCTGTTGAGTGTTCGAATTCTTATTAATATTTGTGTGAATGTCTTTATACAATTCAAACAGTTTGCTGTAAGGAGAGTTGTTTTGTGTCCCCGGGGAAAGAAAATTCACTTGGTGAACGTTTTGCTTTTCATTAGACTCTTCCTGCAGTTGTCCCTCATGCGTCATGGGACTAATTGTTGTGATATCAGCATCTGTAGTTGGAATAGCATTCTTTTTAACTTTCCTTACTCGTAAAATATTTCCACTCCCTTTGCTCTTATTTTTTCTTAAATTTTCGTTGTTCGAATCTTTAAAATGATTCAAAATTTCTAGTTCTTGCTTCGGCTCTGACGATGAGTCCCGAATTTCATCTCCAGACAAATCTTGAGAGGTATGATTTCCACCTACATTCACCTGACCAATTTCTTCCCTATACCTTAAATTTCCACTTCGACCAATCGCTGAGTCTCCTTGAGATTGGGTTTTGTTTGATCCAGAAAAGAATTCCATGTAAATAATTCCTCCTATTGTGGATATTATTCCCATGGCTGCGAAACCAGCAAGTATTACAATTGCTGCATAGCAACAACAGGAAGAACACTTTCTCGAGCGACTACTCTGTGAGGAAATAGATTTAACTTTTGGCCGATGAATGATCGGGGATTTAGCTTCTTCGTTATCCGATGCTTGTCGGGAGGATGACTCACTTGCAGATATAGATTCGTTTGGACTTTTTGGACACATTTGAGCTGTAAAATGAAAACATCATATATTAAAAGTATCACCTATTTTTTAAACCTGAAAATATGTTTATTAAAATCGATCAAAATTAAAGATGGGGAAATAAAAAGTTTTTGATACGTTAAAATACAGTGAAAATCGAAATAAATTAGAAGAGCAACTTTGATATTCAAATGGGACAGTTTAATTGGTAACTATGGTTACTTTTCACATCTCAATTTAACTTCAATTATAGTCAGATTTACTATCTAAAATGTTTATTTAACTGCACAAAATATTTCCTCTATACTATATCGCTCATAGGCTACAATAGTGGCACAACTCAAAAAACATGCGTTTTGGACTAAGAACAGGTGTAAATATGAAAATAAACATTCTTTCAGCAGCAATACTAGCACAACTCATAAGTTATGATAAACAACAATTCAACTTGAACTCAAGTTGAAACTACAAATTCAACTTGAAGGTAATCTTCGTTAAGAAATTTTGCGTTACATGGAGAGGAAGACCACGAGAACCTCCCACGGTAAGTCTGACAAGGGAACTCTAACCCATGATTCGTCTACCACTGAGGATATTTCACGTCAGCACTGTGGTCTGTGCTATCCGAACGCGGGATTCCTATTGGCCAGCCATCGCTGGGATTCGAACCCGGTTCACCTCATTGGAATGCAAAAGCTCTATATCCCCTGAGCCATCGCTGCTCAATCACCAATGATTTAAATAAATAAGATCTTCAAAGCTTGATTCAAAAATATGTAAATAAGGAAAAACAGTCGACATTTTTTAAGCTCTCAAAGCTCGTGCCCATTTACAAATCGGGCTTAAATGCATCTCCACGAGCATTGAAATGCATTTTACTCTGATTTGCCATCTTTCGGTCACAGTGGTTTTTCTTGTTCTGTTTTTCATCTTTTTTTTTCGCTCGCGCCTGCTGTTATGAGGTTTTTCTAGTTTTGTTTCTAACCTTTATTTTTCCATTTTCATTGCCAACTTTACTTTTTCTATTTCAAATCACTTTTGTTTCTTCTCCTTCATGTCTGGCAAGTCATGAAAATGGGTGCCTGTTTTTGAGCGCTGGAAACATGTAGACTGTAATTTATTATTTATATATTTTTGAAGCGAATGAAGTTTTTAATCAAGTAATATCTTACCGCTTCTGTTTCTAAGGATTATTTATTTAACATCGTCAAAGGTTTCAAACATTAAATTTTATGTATCATATATATTTAAATTAAAATCTAGCGTATTTCCCATGAACTACTCTCATTGTTTAAAAACAAAAATAAAAATAAGCTTAAGTCATTATTGTGAAGTTTTGAAATCTAAAGCTTTTTATTATACATTAACTACAGCGCATTTTTCTTTTCTTTTTTTTTTTTGCAACTACAATTTCCTTTTTCTTAACTTCTATTTTATTCAATTTTCATTTAAACTACTTAAAAATTTTTGTCTTGATACATTAAGAACCTCCAATTACCACCACCATTATACATATTTTTAAAATCGTAAAAAAGGAGTGAAGCAATTATTTACACCGGGGATTTTAAATAAATTTAATGCAAATTAATGAAAATAATGAAAATTATAAAACTTATATGAAGCAATGAATTAATGAATGATCAAATTAAAAATCATTAATAATTAATTCGTTCAAGAAGGAAGTTGAAAAGAGATTCTTAACGAAAAGCGAATGCATTTTAGTTTAATCTCAATAGACAGACGAACTCGTTTTTAGTATTTCGAATGATTCCTTTGCTTTAAACAACTTCGATGTCAGAATTTGATGACGTCTGAAAATTAAATATCAATGTGTTATCTCAATGTGGTCTGAGCACGATGGCGAGTTACAATCGAATTCTTATGTGTCAGGTCACAAAGAGTATAGATGAATAACTATTAAACTATAAAGCATTCCACTAATGAATAGAAATTTCATTTTAAAAAAACTACTCTGTTGCTGAGCAATTAAAATGAGTTTGTTCAATTCCTTGACTTCCCCAGTCGATGGTTTCAAAGAACTTGCATGAAAAGATATTTATCTGTAGATTATTCCTTTAAAAATGAATCTAATTATAGAAGGGTGGAGATGACTAATAACCTTTCGACATGAATTTAGTATATTAAAATCATAAAAATAAAGTTCAAATCAATTTTGAAATTATTACCCTTTTTGTTGTTATACAACCAAGATGAAGAGAGCTGACATTCGGTGATTACTACTGTTGATGCAGATGAAGCTCCTGAAGAATTTGATGACAGTGTACTTTCAAGATATCCCTTTTGAGAGCTTAGATCTTTTGCTGTCTTCGGTGGTCTGTAAATACTGCTGGTACTATTGGAGCGACATACTGGTTTTAGCTTAGTGACCACTTTTGCGTTGTCTTTATCACCTTCGACAACAGTATGGCGCCTTTGCAATTGCAATGTTAATGGAGATTCCTGTAAATAATTAGAGTTTCAGATCAAGATATTACAAAACTTGATATAAGTGCTTATTTTGTAATGTAATCCTCCAAGAAAGGAATTTTTACTCGCTTTCAGGTTTGTAAAAGTGGATTCTTGTAATTAAAATTGAAATTTTACATTTCCGAATAGCTAGAGAACTCAATTCTTCACTAGTGCTACCTGTCTGATGACGGTGCGAGGGAAATTGTTGAATTCCAAGCATAACAGAAGGGAAATCGCACAAGTATTTTATTCAAAAAATATATTAAATATTTTTTAAAGCAAAAATTCTACTAGAATATGCTACTTTAGGGTGCAATGTTTAGTTAATTGGCCTAAAATAATAAAAGAGCCTCATAATTAAATTGCACGTTAATTAAATGTAGTTGTAACAGTAGGGACAAATAAAATCCCACATTTTTTACATGCACAGTGTTTTATGCTAAATTCTGTGATTTGGTCCATTCTAAACATTATCTGTAATTTTTTTTTTTTTAAATTATCACATTTCAAGGTAAAATAAATTATTATAAGACTTTAAAAATTCCAACCCCCTTTTTTTAAGTCCAAATAATGCATCGTAACAGAGAGGACATGGAATGTAACAAGTCTTACAAATTTGACGAAAAGTTAAAGGGAAATATCACTGTTAAAAGTGACTCTTTGGTTATTTAAAGTTGGAGTTGGCAGCACTGCTATAATTGAAACCTGTGCTACATCTTTGTAGTTAGATTTGAAAATTTTTATTTTACCAGACCCTTTTTTAAAAAAATAAGTGCATTGTTTGTGCACAATTCCAAAAGATAACTTCTGAATTCATAAATTACAACAAATTTCCTTTAAAATGATACCAAATACAACGATATTGCTTAAACTTTAAAAATTCACTACTGGTTTCAGTTGGCATGGAATTCAACAATAGTTTCCTAACAAGCAGAATTTATAGCTTATTTTCATTATTAATATAAATTCATATCATCAATAAAAAAATCGATGTCTTTCAGACTAGCTAGTTAACCAGTAATCAAATCCTTCTCCATTTGCAGAATAGACGACTTTCCTGAATCAGAGAATTGTCAGTCCAAAGGAGAGATATTTCTGAACATCGAAACGCATCACTTTTAAACTAAGCGTCCTAGATGCTTCATTTCTTTTTCAGTCATATAATTCATATTTTTTCCTTCATAATATAGCCTTTTATTATTGTCTCTGAATGATTTTTTTAACTTTTGGAGAAATAATTTGAAAAGCCCACTTTTTCTCAATTTTTCCCCAAAACTTTTCATATTACGACGCATAAGAAACTACATATGAAATTTGTAAAACTAGAACTGCAAAAAAGTAAATAAAAAAATNAAGTATAGAAAAGTGGAGATGACTAATAACCTTTCGACATGAATTTAGTATATTAAAATCATAAAAATAAAGTTCAAATCAATTTTGAAATTATTACCCTTTTTGTTGTTATACAACCAAGATGAAGAGAGCTGACATTCGGTGATTACTACTGTTGATGCAGATGAAGCTCCTGAAGAATTTGATGACAGTGTACTTTCAAGATATCCCTTCTGAGAGCTCAGATCTTTTGCTGTCTTCGGTGGTCTGTAAATACTGCTGGTACTATTAGAGCGACATACTGGTTTTAGCTTAGTGACCACTTTTGTATTATCTTTATCACCTTCGACAACAGTATGGCGCCTTTGCAATTGCAATGTTAATGGAGATTCCTGCAAATAATTAGAGTTTAAGACCAAGATATTACAAAACTTGATATAAGTGCTTATTTTGTGAAGTAATCCTCCAAGAAAGGAATTTTTACTCGCTTTCAGGTCTGCAAAAGTGGGTTCTTGTAATTAAAATTGAAACTTTATATTTCGGAATAGCTAGATAGAACTCAATTCTCAACTGGTGCTACCTGCCTGATGACGTTGCGAGTTAGAATAGTTTCCTGGCTGCTACAAGCAGAATTTATAGCTCAATTTCATTATTAATATAAATTCATGTTGTCAATCAAAACATCACTCTCTTTCTGACTAGCTAGAGAACCAGCAATCAAATCCTTCTCCATTTGCAGAATAGACGACTTTCCTGAATCCGAGAATTGTCATCTCAAGGGAGAGAAATTTCTGAACATCGAAACGCATCATTTTTAAAAAAGTGAACTTTCATTTCTTTTTCAATCATAAAATTCATATTTTTTCCTTCATAACATAGCCTTTCATTTTTGTCTTTGAATGATTTTTTAACCTTTGGCGAAATAATTTAAAAAGAACTTTTCCTCAATTTCTTCCCAAAACTTTTCATATTACGACACACAAGAATCGAATCATGAACTTTGTAAAACTAAAATCGCAAAAAAGTAAATAAAAAAATTATAACTGAACAGTTTTTTGTAATTTTTTAAAGGTATAATTTTAATTTCGAAATTTCTTTTCATATTCGTATGCAAAGTATTCTGTAATCGCCATCCCCAATGATATATATTTTTAAAATTAATCTGAAATAATATTTATTGTCCCTATTATAATTAATATTTTGTAATAGTTAATTTTTATGCTATATATTTAAAATTTCAACTGTGATATCTAGATATATATCAATATTTATATTATCAGTAAGATATACTTATCTCAGAAAAAAAAGCTATGATAAATCAATATTTAGATCAATCACTGCAAAAATAGATTAGAAACATTCAAAACCAGCTTATTTATTCCCCAAAATTTAAAAACATTCCTTATAATAATTCAGAAAGTTGTCCTTATAATAATTCAATATTTTAAATCCACTTCCGTCTTACCGTAATACATTCAAAATTTAAAAGAAAAGTTTTCTACGTCGATTCTAGTAAATCAAAAAAAAATGTTCAAGCGAAGTATTAATTTTCAAGGAACCTAATGAGGAAGTTTTTTAGACTAAACTCTACTGGCAAATCTTTACGTGGATTGATTCTAAAAATGTACTATATTGAGGAGTACCTTGCAGAATTGCGAACATCTGTCAGTTTCGACATTCGTCATACAAATATTGCTCAGCATTTTTCAGATATATTGCGTCTTAAAGTGTACGGCAGTCAAAGGGTTAAATTATTAGAATAACAATTTAGATTAAAACATAATTTAGAATATATTTAAAAAGTAGTGACCTTTCATATTTAAAACATATGAAATGTTTTGAAACAAATTCATTTTGGTTGAAGTTATATTAGTTTTTAAATTAAAAACATTATTAAAGAAGTGAAAAACTACATTTAATCCTTAACTAAGATGTGGTGAACCAAAAAAAAAAAAAAAACANAAAAAAAAAAAAAAACACTTTAAAACTCCAATTTTCGTAAAATTTTTGAAGTAGCGATAATTTTTAGAGTTATATTGCTAACTCAAATTTCTAAAAAAAAGTGATATCATTTAAGGCTTCAAAAACACTATATCATATTAAAAAATTGTAGGGTTTTTTTCTCTTTACTTCAGTTTTTAAATTATTGCAGATTTACATATAACTACGAAAGCGATAGCAAACAATTTTTTGAGATAAACACAAATGACAGAAAAATAATTGTACCTCTACTGGCAAATCTTTCCTGTGGTAAAACTTTTTCATTGTGAATTAGGAAAGGGCGAAGCACATTTAAAAGCAAAAATAATTTTTTTTAGAGTAATAATAAAATTAATGTTTGTTGAGTATTGAGTATTGAGTATAGTTAAGTGCTGCGAGCTCTCTGCTTATCGCTTATAGNGTAACCACCTAATGTTTCTTGATACTCCAATATAAAAGTTGAAATCTAACGTGAAGACGCTGTCATCTACTCCTCTGAAAATAAATGGAAACGTCCAGAAATACCTACTTTTGCAGTCAATAGTCAGGATTGCAGGCCGAAGTGGTCTCGGATCACTATAAAGAAGATCGCATCTTCGTACCCCGACATCATAGGAAAAACTCACCACTTGCAAGATATTGATATTTAAGAACGTAATTGGTGTAGAAGGATGGGTGACTGAAAGACTGTAGAAGAGGAGATCACTGGTTCGTGCCCTCCTGTTTACTGTCGTTTGTAACTAAAGACAAGATACACAGTGAACAAGATACATCGCAAATAGAAATAGAATAAAAATTATCGCACTTGAAGTAGGGCAAACTTCATTGATCATCAAACTACGCATCGCACCCTAGATGCAGCACTGCGAGAAAAAAAAAGTCAGACATTTTATTCATTTCAACAGTTTTCATGTTCTGGAAGAGAGATGGTGGCTGATTCAAAGCTCCGTATCATCGATGAGCATTAACTTATAAAATCGAATAGCATATAAGTACTTAATTCAAGAACTAAAATTAAATATATTCATCAGCCTTTTAGTTAATTCTTTATTCATTCATGCATACATCTGCAATCTTATGTGCTGAAAAGGTTTGTAAGTTTTTTTCAAATTGAAGAACAGAAGCCCAGCATACGAAGAGAATCCAATCAAAGCATCCTGGGTTTGAGCAAAAATCGAAACGGCTACTCCCATACTTCTTACATAAATAAGTCGGAAATTTCGAGTGTACTCAATAAAAACTGACTTATAATTGCTTTTCAAATTTAAAGATTTGTATCATAAATTACAAAACAGCAATGCGATGCGAAAATTAAACAAAAGATACAGTGGGATCAGGAATTGAACCTGATTCCTCCTTAATTCAAAATGTTAGGCAGAAGGAAAACATTTTTCTAGTTATAAATGTTTTACAGTGGATGGAATTGACGTAAAAAGCAGTAGGTCCATTCTGGTCCTTTTGGAGCCCTCTCCAAATTTCTTCAACTTTTCGGTAGTTTATTGTTTAACGGTAATTAATCGTTTAACAGTTGATTTTTTGACTGATTCCATTCATAATTTTCCCGTGATGTCTTTAACTTCAATAAAAATATTGCAATCTTAAAGAAAAATTAAATACAATTCACGATTCTTACAAGCTTAGGGATAATTCCAACTAAATGTGGTTTGATCGCTCTTAATAAAATGTACCAATCAAATTGTCTATTTAAAATGTATACTTTATATAAATTTTTATTTTGATGAATGCACGCGAAATCTGTCGTGGTCTCAAAGTTCTCCAAGTTCTCATAACAAATCGATACCTTTGGGGATACTGTTTGCTCTGATTCGGGTCTAAATTATGATCTGCGGATAGATGATTGGTGTGTAAATGTGTCCTCCCTGTAAAACGAGATGCGACGTGTAAATGTTGTCTCCGGATCATCCTCTGGGATGTTTCTCAGAACATCGCCAGTAGACCATTGTGCAACTCTAGAGGGTTCCTTGGGGTATTCATCCACTTTTCCTTCGAGGTTGATATCTTCCCTACCTGTATTATGCATGATTTTTTATCGCCTTACGAGATCATCGCCAACAAAACCAATTATTTTTATTTTTTGAAATGCCGGATGCTATTTAGGCAAAGTATGAAATAATCGTCCTGGAGAGGTTATTATGTAAATGATGTGCATGTTACTGCGAATGACTGAAATCGGTGGTTGTTGACTTTCACCGGTGAATGTTGACAATCAAATTAGTCGCTTTGGTGAATGTCCGAAATATTTATTACATCCGATTTGATATTAATTTATTCGTGGATATAATTACATTTATTCGATATTTTAATACTTACTGACGATAGATTAGAACAAACATCAGTGTTTGGAGTATCGGGCAAATATATACCGGGCAATGGCACTTGACTTTAAAAAATCATCAGTGTAGGGTATACCGGGCAAATGTTTACCGGGCAGTGGCACTTGACCTTAAAAAAACATCAGTGTAGAGTATACCGGTCAGTGGCACTGAACCTTAAAAAAACATCAGTTTAAAAACATAACGGGCAAATGTATACCGGGCAAATGACACTTAACGAGACGTAGTATGATGAAAGACCTAGTATGACTAGACCTTTGGCAAATGTCCGAAATATATACTAGGTCTATGCCACTTTTGCTATAGCTTGAATGTTTTTAAAAAAATTAAACAAAGCGTTTGAATCAATTTTAAACTGATAACGAAATTATTGCTTTAAAATTAAAAAACTACTAATAAAAACTGCACCAGATAAGAGTAATCGAAGTAGTTGCTTTATACAGCGCATGTGCGGAAAAAAATTTTTAAAAAAAATTATCCAGGTGCATCTAAAAGTGGATGAATATCCCGAGACACCACTCTAGAGCGACGACAAGGAATGTGCTAGTATCTGCCTTTTATTTTGATGAAATAGTGTCAAAAAATATTGTCGAAGCAGCGCTGAAAAATATTTTTTATTAAAATAAAAAGTTTGAGTTCTACACAATATCGCTTATTTATAACAAAAAGAGAATGGAGGAGTATCTCCACTCTTCTCTTAAAATGAAAACCTATTTAACTCTTCATTCAGTTTTTGAATGGGATCTTCAGAACAACTTGGAGTGGGCTTCAAAAATTCAGTGTGCAGTGGGTAGAAATAACCCAGTGTGTTGTCATCTAAAAGGGTCTAAAACCTTTAAAGACCAAGAATGTAGGACTGTACGAATAAAATGTTGCCAATGCTTAAAAAGTGGTAGTACTTTTATTTTTAATCATATGAATTAAGGGAACTTTTCTATACTAGTTATCATTTTAAACACAGTTGTAAATTGTGACAACTACACGCACTAACGTTAAAAAATTCAGATTAATATGGTTTCCGCACTTGAGTAATAACAGCCCGGTCTAGTTCTACTCATTTTCATACCAAAATAACAATGTTTTTGCACAAAAAATAAGAAATTTCATACCACCTTCCAACTCCCTTTGTGCCCTGCGCTTTCGTAAAGAGAGCACTCATACTACAAGCTATTGCTCTAGACATACGTGCGAATTTTTAAGTTGGTAGTTATGTACTTTATTTACATCACACTCGAGCTGCACAATGGGCTATTGGTGACAGTCTGGGAAACATCGAATTTTAGAAATTACAAGCAAAACGAACTGCTCGTTGGTGCGCTAATCGCATTACCATGCAGAATTATTTTTCCGGAAGGGCAGCACCGAGAATCAAGAAGCATACGTATTCCTTTACATTTACATTGGGATGCATACGCTAATGCAAACATATGAGAACTCACCTTCTGTATGCCCCTTGCTTCCGGTCACTTCCTTAAAGTGCGGCTAGCCTTCAGGGTCATTCTCACCATATGAGACTCACACAACTTCGATCATCATCAGGGGAGAAAAAGGAAAGGAGGAAATATTCTCACTCCATGCTATTCACATATGCGTGATTCGAGCATCGCGAGTAGTTCGTTTTACATGTAGTTTCTAAATATTCGCTTGCCCGTCTTGGGTAATCGCAAGCAGAGTGAATGCTACTTGGATCGTGAAATTTAAGGGTCATTCTAACAACATACGATTCACTCACTTCCGGTCACCATCCAGGAAAACGAGAACCTGATTGGTTAAATGTTTTTGGCATTTTCCTCGTAAACTAATTCAAATTTTCACTCGATAACACTTGCAGATGCATTTATCGCATACAGTTTGAACGGTTCCCATTACCTTAAGAAAATGATGAAAATAAGGCTCTTGTATGACGATCGGAGATGTGAGGACCACTTGCAGTAAAAAGGGTTCCTTACAGGATTCTCATCGAAAAAGAAGAAAAATAGCTACCAAAGAGTTATCTATTGGTAGGTAGGTACTTTATTTACGTCGCCCTAATGCTGCACAATGGGCTATTGGTGACGATCTGGGAAACATCCCTGAGGATGATCCGAAGACATGCCATTGCAATTTTAACCCTCTGCAGAAGGGATAGTTCCCCTGCTTTGGTAGCCGATGACCTGGTCGTGAAGTTCAGCACTTTACGGAAGAACAGTTTAACGAAGACAAACTCTATTTCAAATCAACTTTCTCCTCATACATCGGTTTTCAGCGCCGAAGGACTGGCCATTTTCCTCACTTTCAAACGACCACTACATTTTTTTTAACAGATAGCCATTCCGTACTTCTGCCACTCACTAAAGGCATCCGAAATTCTCCGAGAATCTCTCTCTTCTTTACAAAATTGCCAAATCAAGTCAGACAGTAAGATCCTTCTTATATACTTGAGTTTCATCTCACACATGAGTAAAATAAAATGAGCAAGCAGACTTTCTTGAAAAGCAAGCGCTGAACCAAAATTTCATTTCACATCTTTCCTCACCTCAAGACCTTTAGCCAAGCCTTTCTTAAGATAGCGCTCAATAAAGAACTTCAGTGTATGGAAGGGTGAAGAGTTGCGAATACTTCCTTCCCTTCCCTCACCTTGATGGATCTCAAGATAACCCTTCGATAATCAGCTTCCGAAAACTTAATGTACTAATTGCCAGGCTCAGAACTAAATTTCTTCGGACTAGCTCAATCGTACACAAGGACAAACATATGCAAAGTCCAAATAACCCGGACTGCGGAAGTCTCAACCTGAAGGATCACTTTCTCCTGGAATGTCCCTCATTCCAGAATACTCGTAAGGATCTCTTAATCCTTATCACTTCAAAATCCAGCATTTACCGATATTGTGAACTTCTCTTTCAACCCTCGGACCAAACTCCAATCCCTTTAAGAATTTTATCAAGCAACAAACCGTTTCTGACTCTTCTCTGCTTGGCTACGGTCAGTGTGCGGGTGGGTGACCACTTGGATCAGTCTGCGTAGGGACCGAGGGTGTGCGGTATTGGTCCTCGTTAAACTGTGCTACCTTAAGGTCTGGTTTCTTAGGACAAGCGCCTTATCTGGGCGTCAGCGTGACGTCAACGTCCCGCTGATAACAGTAAAATATTGTTTTA